ATTATATGGCAAATACTGAAGCAGAAATAGTTACATATTTCACACTTTTATTATTAATCAGGTTCACCCAATCAAGGCAATACAGCCACCGTGACGCAAGGGATTATTGGGTGTAGAAGAGTTAAAAAAAAGGAACATAGCTAAGGAGCGAGAACAGAGGAAAGGGACAGCAGATAGCACGGAGTCGGAAGAGAGTTCCACAAGCGAGAAGTGCGAAAAAAGAAACTGTTAGCGAAGACGGTTATATCTAACCAGCTCAATTGTAAATTGGTGACACCAAGTCGCCACTCTAATACTGTGTCTAGGCGCCATAATAAAAAGCGAATAATTACCATGAAAGTATTTATAGAAAAGACAAAGGGAGGCAACCTTACAACGGTTGGAAAGTGACTGAAGCCGAGACGCCAAATCGGGGCCAATAATATTGCTGATACTTTTGGGGTTTTATCAAGGTGCTCCAGATAGAGGGCAGGAGCACCGGGCTATATATGGCAACAATATTCTAAGCATGGACGAATGGTAGACTTATAGATATGTAAGATAGACTCTGGAGATAAAAAAAAAACGTTTTTAATAAAAGATTCCTGATATGCCCAATATCAACCTATTTCCGTCACGCATGCATGAATTTGTCTGGTGAATTTATCGCAATAACAGAAACAATGCCTCTCTTCTTATTTCAACTCTAAAAGGATTTTTGGAGAGAAGTGAGAACATCAAGTCTTTTATCCCAAGTATTATGAATAGCTGAAATATAAAAACACAAGATTTTTATTCCGATGTGAAATCTGACCTAAAAAAAATAATAATGCAGAATAAAAAATTTACAAAAGAACCTTACACAAAATTTTCCTTTGTGCACCAAATACTTGGGCAAAATTGCAAATTCTAAATACGTCCAATTCTGTTGGTCTCATAATAAACACCAGTTATTATGAAGGAAATATTCACTTTCATATATTCAGAAATAATTATAGAAAGATAATCGTATACCTTTTTAAATTTTATCTTCTCCTTTCTATGCCTTCCTTTTCTTTCTTTTATTTGTTTCTTTTCTTTCTCTTGCTTCTTCCCATGTTTTTCTTTCTGTTTCTTGCTTTTCGTCGGCGTTGACTTTTAGTTTACTGTGCTCTTATCCTAGAAATATCCTACAGTAATTCGCCTGTGAAAGCCTTCAGTCTGTCAGACAAACCAATCAATAGCCAGAAATCGGCTTCAAATTAAGCCAAAAACGAAATACTATGGGAGCGTAACTTACTTTTTGTGCTATTTTAACCAATGGAGAAAGTATCTCCTTAAGACAAATAAATAGGGTGGATACAAAATTATCACCGTATTTATTTACCCGCGTTTGTTTACATATCATTTGAGGTAAAAAGAATGGAGACTGTGGTAAGAAAAACCTTTTTAAAATTATATCCCCTATGTAACTCTTCATGAGTGCATAGGTTCATCTCAAAACTAAAAGACGCCATATCTTTATGACAAAATAAAGCTTGTCTGTCTTGTTCGATTAACTTCTACGGATTCTGAACTGCACCCTTTATTTAATCTACTCTCTCTTCCCTTACAAATAAATTAATACTCTCCGCTCTATTCACTCTTGTGTATCTTCTTTATTTCTCTTAATGAACTAGAGTATATAAGAATTTTTGGTACAAAGAGGTTGAATTCACAGGAGACAGGGAACCAATTGTGCTTGCCATAGTCATTACTTATTCTTCTTCGATGTGCCATGTCTCTTCAGGACGTTGGTGATCAGGGCGCTAGCTCTAGTTCAACTAAATGCAGTAGTAACCAAATTTTTCGCAGGGTCGTGGTGGTATGTCTGCAAGACCTCCACGCCCCTCCGGTGGGTTGTTTTCCAATTTCTTTTCTATAAGGATTATTGAGAGGGGGATGCTATGACTGATTGCTGATGAAATCATGGTGCACCAGGCACCCACGTTTCTTTTCAAAAAATGTAAATATTTTTGAATATAGAAAATGAGAGTTAATGTCAATGTATATTGGGAATTTTCCAATGACCCACGGGTGGGTCGTGTGCGATTCTGGGTTGTAAAATGAATTCAGGTACCGAACATCACAACGGTGTGTCGTGGGTGATAAATACTACCTATGATATCTTTGCCTTATATATGAAACAATGTTAAAACATAAAGTCGCTTGTACCAAAATTAATTAAGATATAGTGTTGGGACCCTTGGACAACAAGAGAAAGAAGGCATGAGAGTCAACATGTTAATAGAGTGGAATCCATGCAGTGCTATTGTGCTTTCGAACTGTCTGTTAATGTCTAAATTGTGTAATAATCTATTTAAAAATAGAAACCAATTACTTAAAATTTAAAAAATATAATAATTCAATTAGAACATCCTGTATTTACATTTCATATCTACTGCCAATAATATGAATAGAACATGTACACTGCAATTACTAAGAAATACATATTTTTTCCACAAAAAAATTAATTTTTCCATATGAATTTTTTAAATTTTATTTATTCATTATGAAAACTAAATGATAACATTGTAGTTGAGGATAGTACCCTTTGTACCCAGGCTAGCAATATTTTTAGACCCAATCTGCCACGGACAAAGATGAACACCAGCTGAAAAGACATGGCATAAAAATGCATGTGTTTGTGTTTATTCAATTGACATGTTTTCTACGGTTTATCAACCCTTTGCAGGTTATTTAAAGCCAGAAAATATTTTTAGATTGTAAGAATTTTGCGTAGGGGGGATAATAATGATTTAGTCATATAAGTCTTGCTAATTAACCCATAGCATTGGAAGAGAAGGACATTTGCGCATAACTGAATATAACGAACCCGTCTGGAATTTGAACTCGGCTCTTTGATTAACAATTCTGAGTCCTTATCCACACATCTGAGCTTACAGTGCCCGGTATTTTCAAGCGGTTATCCATCTAGGTACGGACCAGGCTCGACGTTGATTAACTTCGGTGATCGTACGTCAAATGGTGTTTCAACGTGATGTGGCCGTAAGCTCTGTGTGTATGTGTGTTCGTGTGTGTTTTCTAATATGTTAGTTCATGATGTAGGCAATCATTTGTTCTTTACAGATTCCTCTTCTTTGTTATCTGTGTTTTACAATGACTTCAGGGGAATGCTAATAGAGTAGTTTTGTGTTCATGTCTCCGCAGTTTTGAATTCAGGGTCTTCTTTCTCCTAGATTAGCTGACATCTAAGGCTAGAGATTCCATATATCTTGCTCTAACCCATAGATTTATTTTCGGTTGAACTGCTTTACATTGTGTATTCGGTGCTTAATATGTCTTCCGTGTAGGCAAAAAATATGTAAAGAATAGAGTTTGTCACGTTTTTGGCGTTTCTGTTGCACTCTGATAAGTTTACCTTCTGGAATTTTCGTTGAATGTTATTTCTCATTGAAGAGGAAATTTTTATACCAAATGTAATTGTGTCGATATACACTTCATGAAGAACAACGAACAAAAGAAGCTTTTCAAATGGTGTTCCTGTTTAGGCTGGTCACCTGCCATTGACTAGCAATTAACTAGTTAGATACAAATAATAGTTATATTTATGACTTTGTACTCGTGTAGAAGTCCCCGACCAAAAGAAAAATTCTAAAGAAAGTTTTCATTCTAACAACTTGTACACTAGAAATTAAAAACCTAGAAAGATCAACCAGAGAAATTATTTCCGCTTGAAAACGTGATATTGAAAATCTGTTTCGACATTAAAACAAAAAAAAAATAATACTATTTTTCAACGAATAAAAAAAAAAAAGAAATTAAATAGACACATCTAACTGCGCCAGTTTTATGGAACGTGATCTTAAGGACACATAACTGCATGACCTAGCACAGAGTTAACCAGATCGTCCAATTTACACGTCGTTTTGTCCGAACGTTCCCCTTACCATCATAGCAATGAGAAAACTGACATTAATGGAGACGCTGTAATTAATATTTGATAACAGTAAGTAGGGACTTTTTCAATTCGACTTTATTGTACCCGCCTTCTATTTATTACTTTCAGATCAACTCAGACATCTTTTAAATGTATCTGATTGTAAAGACTTTAAGATTACAAGTCGAATTAATACTAAAATACATTTTCTTCCTTAGACACAAAAGAAAGAAACATTGACAAACGTTAATATATTCTTTCTTTATTCCAATTGTTTCAAAATCCAAAAATATGTCCGTATATAAAAATAATTGTTATATGTCAACGTAACTTTTTTTGTTTTGTTTTTACCATCCAACTACAAATATCCGAATATCTCAACTTTTAATCGTTAACAACTTCAACTGGTCTATCCAGCCGTGGTGCATTGTTCAGTGCGAAATCTTCAGTACAAAATTTCAAATTATTTCTAACATGTTTGATCATTCACAGCAACTTCTTTATAAACCAGTTTCATCAGGCCGATATCAAAATCCAGTCTGATGGACGTTGACAACTTTCTTCCAAGACGAAATTTAATGTAGTATTTGGAAAGCATGGTGTTAACAATTAAGCATAATCAAACCACACCCACATGAAATGTTTGTTGCAGGATTGAAATGAACAACTCGGGTTGTGACATCCGCCGCACAATACTTTTGGTGCTTACCTAGTGTTATTTTTAACTTGTTGTCATTTAGACGAGTGAAAAATGTGCACTTTGTCTTCAGCACCCTCCGAAGAATTTTCAACATCATTCTAAAGTATACTGGAAAAATCGTGGGACCCAGAAGACACCATCTACGATAAAGGAAAGAAATTGAAGATCTGTGACCATATCTGACGTGGCTGAGCTGTACTACAAGGTGTTGGACAACGCCAGATTTAGAATAAATGAAATCCTGTGGTAGTTATGAGACCCCGTACTTGGGCCCTAAAGGAGGTAACGCCTGGCAAGACTACACATGAAGATGAAAGGAAGATGGAGCCCCCCCCCGCCACTGGCCAATGGGTCCCCTGTGCTTAAACACACCTAAACACAATGGTAAATCCAGCACTGGTGTTAGATAATCATGGTGGGGAAAATGTTCTCTAAAGAATTGCGATTAATATTCGCGGATTTATCATACTTTTGTTCGATTGCTTTTTTGCAGTTTCCTGTGGTAATGAAGCTTTGCTGGTTCTTACGACATGAGATCAATTGCATCATTTCGTTAACCACTGCATGACAAAGCAATTTCTTTATAGATAACTCAACAGCCACTATAGAATAAAAAAAAATTCTCTTGAAGCCAGACTTGAAGTGGTTAAGTAAATATCATGAAATTAAATTGTTCATTGAATAAGGCTTCAAGTAGATCTGTCTTCATTCACAAATAATTTTCATCTTTATGAAATTTATTCTTCAAAAAATTACATTTTATTCAGTTATACATTCACCGTTATTTGCAATGACTTTTTACCACTTATCGATAACTTTTGAGTAGAATTTCACAAGTTTTGATGTGAAAAAGATTTTGACGAACTTTTGAATTTGCTTTTCATTAGAAACACAGTTGAAACCATCAAAACGTTTTGCAGTGATCGTAAAAGGTAATAGGTGCTTTGATCTCAGCCAAAAGGCCGAGGGTATTTTTCAGCGCGCCCACCTCACTACCGAATATGACACAAGGCCGAGGTTTAAAGTGGGTTTACCGGCAATATCGTGGAAAAATTGCACAAGCACTCTCGGCACTTCCCCTTTTGGCAATAAAGGAGAGGTACTGCCTGAAGGAATCCCCCTCTCCCCTGGGGCTTGGCCTTGCGCGGTTATGAAGAACATTTTCCTTTAATCCACGGTGTACGCTACAGCTACCGTACAAAAACTAAAGTATGTTAATGTACTCCAAATGTATTTTTAACTGCCACCTACGATCAACAGTTAGGATGATACATTCGTCATTACAATTGGTTCCCCAAACTAGAAATTATTTATGACTGAACCTAACAGATTAGTGATGACTGAAAGATCTAACATTAATGAGGTTCTAGACAGTGGAGTTACTATTTCACAAATTCAAGTAGAATTATTTCTTATAGTCATATAAAGACGGCTTAGATATTAATACATAAAAGTGAGTATCTAGGATTTTCTCAAAAACTACCGGAGCTAGATCCATAAAATGTCCCATCGATTGTGGCTCTCCACAACTTCCTATGCTTTGTAGACCTTAGTAATGTTTGTGTTTTTGACAGAACAGTGATTAGGAGGTGTAGCAATCATTTACACAAGTTCGTTAGGTTATTCGCGGCTTTCCTCTGTTTTTCTAGCCTTCAGTAGGTTCTGTGGCTGTCAACTCATCTAAATCTTCTTTCCTCATTAGGTGCCATAGAAATTTCAACTGTCTCTTTCTATGTAGAAAAGTCGTTTTTTGTTTCCATTTTCCTAAAAACTTCGTTGTTACTTTTTCAGTCCATGGTTTTCTCGGCATCTTTCTCTGACAAGATTGCCCGGCGTTCACTGCTGTATAGAATTGATATTGCATAACTGTTCAGTATTCTTTTCTTGGATTCTAACGAAATTTTGCTATTTCTTAAGACTTTGCTGAGACACAGGCGTAATAACAAATAATACTTCATCCTGCAACATAGGACACACGTATGTTTAGGATAGGTTTTGTGGTATACTTTAAGCGCCTACAAATAATGACTGAATAGAAAAATAATTCAGCTTAAGGAATTAAGCATCAAGTGTGTTTCAAATCTTCCACATTGGGTCACAGTAGATGATGGAACATCACACTCTAAAACGTTCTGGAATTATTCATTCTGGACTGAACATTGTGAAATCGAAGGAGAAATTGCACTAACACTAAACCTGTATATTTTCAGAAGTTGACAAGTTTCTTTGAATTCAGTATTTTACTTTTCTTACAAAGGAAAAAATGTAAAGAAAGAGGGTGTCTACAAAGTCTTTAGATAATTTCAAAAAGTCATCACGAAAATCGGATTTGAAATCAACACCTCATTTTTATTTAGCACGTTGGCTCCCAAGCCTCATTTCCCTTATAGTGTTGGGGGCCCTGGGACAATATCTTAAATCCTGTTAGAGAAAAATAAGGAAAAATGAGTGCAAAGGAAGCTGATTAGAAAAAAAAGCAAATCCATTTTGTGCTGAATGTGAAGATAATTCTTCCCTTTGTCTTGATTGTTTCAATAAGAGACATATAAAATTAGAATCAATTCAAATTTTCCTACTGCCATAGCAATATGTGCTTTTATATATTTTCTTTTATATCTTTTCAAGAAATCAGACATTAGGAATATGATCTTTTTTATTTATTAGGAATTGTGATTTCTATTAGATTACAATTCTTTAGTTGTAGGTATTATTTTGGTTTCCTAATTAAATAAAGTATACTTTTTTAATTTCATATTTTGCCAATTAAATTAAGTTTATTCAATCTTTTAGTTGACCTGAATGCACGGTACAGCTCAGTGTATGTAAAAATAAAATATGATCCCAAGAAACAACAATAGAAATTCCAAAAGGAAATAAAAAATATTTGTTTTTTTAAAAAAAATGTGGTTCTGGTGTACCATGATCTCATAAGTAATCAATCATAGTATCTCACTTTTAAATAGAAAAGAAATTGGAAAACAACCCACTGGAGGGTCATGTAGGCCTTCAAGATATGACACTCTGGTGGGTTGAGTGGAAAACAATGTGTTAAACAATGTGTAGTAGGTCTATCAGCCCTGAATTTAAGAAATCTTAATAAAGAAAATGTGTTCTCTGGCAGCAATCAAATCAAATAAATCATTAATTTCGGTACTGATCTATTTAAGTGTTTAAAGATTTACAAATCTACGTGTAAATCTGTAAGTAACCACATAGGTAAATTGAGAATATTTATCTTCTGCTTTCGCTGAGTACCATGACAATATCAACTCCTAAAAGGTTGGAAATATTAATAGAATTTGTGCAAATAATCTTAAACCTATTTCAACTTTGTAAAAATGTGACATTGATTCCACATTAAAAGACAGATAAATAAGATACATAGAGACGCCATTGTTGGCCAGGAAAACGTTATGAAATCAAGATATAAAAAATAAACAATTATTTAAAAAAAAAAAAAAAAAAAAAAAAAAGGAAAAAAAAAGGAAATAAATAGATAAAATATTTTGATTGTGCAATTCAATACCTAAGCTAGTCCAACAGGTTTATTGCATATGTGTATACACTAGATGTTCTCAAGAAGAGGAAAAGTAATCAGGAGGACAGTAGACAGCGATTGACATTGCATTTAAATTTTTGCAGTTAGATGGAAAGCATGGAGCCAGAAGGGAGTTCCACAAGCAAGAAGTGCAAGAAAAGAAACAGTTAGCATTTAAGGCTATATCTAAAGAGCTCAACTGTAAACTGTTAAGATCTTGATTTCAGTCTAATACTACATTTAAGTTCAAAAAGTCTAGGTACCATAGTGAGGAGCCCATCCAAACAAATACCTTATCAAATGTTCCTTCAATCAATGAATCTCCTCTGCCATAAAAGAATGATTTTATTATTGTGTTCCTGATTCACAATAAGCCGTATAAAAAAATTAAAATTTGTTGACATCCACTTCTTAAAAATGGTGAGCTAGCTTACATAATTGAAAACTTTGATACCTTATTTTTGATAAATAATTTTTTTTGTACCCACCTCACAATTTTATAAATCCAAATGATATCTCTTTATGTAAGATTATTTTCTACTTGGGTCATATTTCCAATGTGAAGTCAATGACTTTTCACAGTCAAATTTCTAGAATAAAGTTTCTAAACCACATCATAATATTATAATAAAGAAACATTCAAAATAAAAAGGTTGGTAAATAAATCAAAATATTTATAGCATAAAATATACAAATATGGCACATGGTCAACAATGGAGATGGAGTGTTATCATCTCTGCCCTATCTTTTAACCTAGCTAACCACAATCACTAACACAATTTCACAAATATTTTTAAGTCACTAAAACTTTAAATTTGCATTTATCATTCATACTACAGACAGCATAACAACACAATTTCTATCTGAAGTCCCAATTTATCCCACATGTACATTTTATTGAGGAAGGATAATAATAATTTTAAAAAATACTAAGTGTAGCTTATTTTTAGCACATGGCCAAAAGTTTGGTACACCCATTTAGGATTAGAGTGATTATTCAATATTAATAGTAAAATAGATCAGCTTGTAAATAAAAATTGGAAACATGAACAGTGGATGTTTTAATAGATGTAAATTGCTTTTTTATAAACAATGTTTTGTTATTTTTTTTAAATGGGTGGTGGGGAGAGGGTTATATTCTCAGTTAACCACAAAGGAATGGCTGACAAGATGACTTGCAAAAAATTTTGACAATATTTAACTTTTGTGGCCACAAAACTATGATGTGTCAAAAGGACAGTTATTCTCTTGACACTGCGATTACTGCATCCACTTTTGTCTTTTCCTTTGGCAATGTTCATTGTTTTTAGAAAGAGATGATCAGAATTATAATAAAACCTAAACATATGAAAATGAATTTCCTTTATTCTTGAGAATTAACAAAGCTATCATACATTATTAAGTTAATAGATTGAATAAAAAAACTTTGTTTTCATAGTTATTTCTTTATAAAATAACTAGCAGCATGGTCCGGCGTTGCCCGTGCTTGATTCAAAAATCATACGACTCATACAGCAATCGCTATCACGACTTAAAATATTTTTTTCCCTTCCTTGCCTTTAAAGGAGTGCCCTTTGCCGTGTTGATGTTGCTACATGCCTTACTTCTTGCCTATCTCACACTGCGAATTTTTTCTAAGCTCTATACTAAACATTAAATCTGTTACGAAAAAAAAAGAACTAAACAAAATGATCACAAAACGATCAGCTTTAAAAAAAAGACTCGTAACTGGAAAAACCGAATGAAACAAGAATGTTAACAACAAATATTTTTTCACACCCAACTCAGTTCTGCAGAATCAGAATCATTGTTGAGTTTAAGCAAGCGAATGAGCCAATTGGAGTAAAGTGCCATGCAGATTTAAATTTTTCGCACTTGTGACGAATGCAGCTATCGATTTTTTTTACACGCTAGCATGCTAGTTAACATTCGTGTCAGTTCTCACGCTGGCCAATAGAATCTTCCTGCCTATTCGTGGCAGCCAGTTATAGGCTCTCAATCTGGCCAGTAGAAAATGGCTGCAAACTACATGAAAACTGCCGTAGAAGCATGAAAAAATCGATTATTTCCACTATCAATGGGAGTTGGGAAATGCAAAAGTCGGTCTTAGCCTTCCTCCTAACTTGGAGCATGTGCATGTAAATCTTGGTAAATTAAATTAAAATTGCGGCTGTGCATTAGATTACACACACACACACACACACACACACACACACACACACATCCTGCCTTTTATAGATAGAGACAAATATTGCATTATAGTTGGTTTATGTATTTTGATAATTTTGTAATTTTTTCAAATTTCTTTATAATATGGTAAATAATAAATATCACATTGTACTTGGCTCACATAATCACATATAATCTTGTAAATAATCATTGCCAAGGGAGTCAAAAATGTATACATTAATAATGATGTCAAGGTAATAACTGTCCTTTTCACACGTTTTTTTTTTAAGACACAAAGGTTAACCATTGCCAAAATTTCTTCATTCTGAAATAACTATTTTGTCAACATCACACTTTGACAAGTCTTGAAAAAGGTTCAATTTGTTAACAAACTTTAGTTCTTCAGATTTTTACAAAATGGTAACATTTAGACAGCACCTAATAAATATCTTTAATTTAATATCATTTAAAAATATCAATGCACATCAAGAAATGTATATATATACAAATTTCCCTGATTAACTGAAAATAAAGCATTCTTCTGACACCTTTTATGTAAATCAAATTGTAGTACTGTAATATTTTACTGCATAAGTTTAATCTCCAATATCCATTAATGTAAGTAAAGAAAAGTGAAGCAAGAATTTCCCCAGGTATTGCTAGTGAAGAAATATTATAGCACTGAGTAACACTGTGATATTTTTTCAAGTTTTAAATCTTCTTACAATGGCAGTGAATTGGGTAGTGATTCAAAAATTTGTAAATGATGATAAACGCAGTATAATTAATGATTATCCTGAGCAGAGCTTTTTGCCACTGTGCCCTCATATATTGACGGTGATAAAAAAGAGGAACCTCAGGGTAGTGAAGAGATATTTTCCATTGCAATTAAAAAAAATAGGTAAAAACAGTAAATAGAAAAGTATTTGAATTCTGATTAGTCAAGAAGATAAAATGCACTCAAAATATACTTTGTGGTTGGAACAGTTTCATATTTGCTAGTGATTTGTGTTTAAACCTAAGTAAAAGCCAGAATTTTGAATGCTGATTTTGAAGGAAGTCAGCTACTTCTCAAAACAACTAGACAATTATTTGCCTTTATAGTAATTTCTAGACATTCAATGAGCTGAAAGAAAATGAAATAGAGGTGGAAGATCATGCAGCATTTCCTCCTTTTTGGTTTTGTGTTCTCATAAATCTTACTTGTAATAAATATCTTTTAAATATCTGGTCATAATAAATATCTTATAATTCATAACAAATATCTTTGTGCATTAATAAAGATCTATCAAACATAAGAATGATAATTTTTTACTGAAAGAAGAAAAAATTAAGACAAATTTTAAAGAAAAACACTATCTTATACCATTTTTTTTACAATGTTTGAAATAAAATATTTTATAAAAATATTCAGATTTTATTCTCTGCCACTTTAAGATATTTGAATTTCTTAGGGTTCAGTCCATATGCTTTCAATCGTTCATTAGATAAGGAAATGTTCAAATCCATATTATGTTTTGTGTTATCATCATTTTTCATTCTCCACTTCTTGGCTCGTTCTTTCTTCTTCAAACGAGTTTTTGACATGAAAGAATTAACGGATGCTGCCTTTGGAACCTGATTATTCGTTTCATTTTTGGTTTTCTGCTTTTTCTTTGCTTTCTTGTCCTCTTCTGATTTGCTGCCTTTCAAAGAATTTTTATTCTTTGGCAAACATTCAAGAATTGCTTCATTTTCAACTTCATGCTCCTCTCGTTTTCTCTTTCTCTTATTTTGCTTCTCTGAATTCTGATTTTCCGAAAGAGTTACATTCATTTTCTCATTCTTTATTTCTTTAGTTTCTTCTTTTTCTTCTTGTTGTTTCTTCTTTTTTTCTTTCTTTGTTTTGTGGTTTCCCAAAAGAGTTTCATATGTCTTTTCATCTCCTTGAGTTTCTCTTTCCTCTTCTGGTTTTTTCACTTTCTTATCTTTTTCTTGTGGTTTCTTTTTCTTTTCTCTTTTCCTTTGCAAACCATTCTTTGTCCCAGACTCTTTCAACATGTCTATAGAATCATTGACAACCACTTTCTTCTTATTCTCTTCCTCCTGTTTCTTCTTCAAGGTTCCTTTCTTTTGATTAGAATTCTGATGAGAATTGCTTTCATGCTCATCTTCATAGTTTGCTCCATTCTCAGATTTTTCCCTGATAAATTAAAAAAATGATGCATGAATAAGAATTCTGTTTGATAAATTATACATTAGAAAAGATGAGAAATCTATTAATATCACATCTAATAATGAAAAGTGTAACATTCTTGCTTTCTCTGTCTGAAATTTGTTTTGCTGAAGCAAGCAGATGAAAAAAGAAAATCACACTTAAAGAAAAGTAGGCAAGAGATATAACCATCATGATAGAATTTTGCAGCAAGTAAAAGTACACTGATACTTCACATATTCAAGATGAGTGCACAAATGCTACACTGATCCTAGGTAGAGTGCACAGATACAATTGATGCAAGCCAGAGAGCAGCATTTTAATCCAAATCACAGATACTCCACAGATCCAAACCAGGGAGCGGTGTCTGATCCAAGGGAGAGTGCACAGATCCAAACCAGGGAGCAGCATTTTGATGCAAAGCACAGGATTGTTACACCCTCTGTCCCCACACCCCTTTTGCATGCTATAAGGTTGGGTGGAGAAATATAACTAATGTAGGTTACAATTTTACATGAAAAACAATAAAAGACGCAAAGATGCCCAGCTAAGGATTTCAATTTTTGATATCCAGAAAATCTAGATGTATAAATTTAAATCCACTTTTCTATTGCTTTTGATTAGCAAAATTTGATGCAGGCTCAAGGTTTGTAATAGAACCATATTAAAACAATCATTCACTTCACATGTGAACAAGAGTAAATAGCCTGAAAACTCTTGTCAAACTAACACAGCCGGCTTGGCACCAATAAGTTTTAACTTTGTGAGCATTTCATTTGAATGACACAATAACTACACCTGCTGTAAGGGAACTTTACAATACCACCTCATATTTATAATTTAAATAGGATTTACTTGCTGTTTTTTTTTTTGTGAATTAACTTACATTTTATTATAAAAGCTGGATAAAAATCTCTTTTTTCGATCCATGTTTTTTCCTCTTTTATAATAGATCATTTCATCGGTGAATTCTTCCTGATCTGTTCTGAAAATATAAAAATCATAAATCAAATAAAACCAAAAAAAAAAGTTGGGTGTTTTGCAAAAATACTAATAATTGAATAAATATGTAAATTTTTGTACATTTCCCAATATATGGTGAATGTTCGAGTGGCATAATGGATAGCAGCTTTGAATGAGAAATCAGAGAGATTAGTTCAAATTCCAATCAAGTTAATTAAATTCCCTTACATGGAAACACACTTGAAAAAAGTATAAATCTATATCTTCTCCCCCAGCTATGGAGTAAATAGTAAGACTTGTATGTAGAAAAATCATTGTTATCTCAAAAAAAAAATAATCTTAGAAATTGTCCAACATTTAATCAAGGTAGAGTTAATGTTGAAAAAGAAATGTCTTTCAAAGATGCAAAAAACTGGCTGACCAGGAAATTGTTTCTCAGCCTATATTTTTCCTGCATGTTTTCTGTTTTCTTCTGTCAGTGACAAAAACAAGAAAAAATTTTTGGGTAACTCAAATTTTTTTACAATCACCTTCCCAACAAATTGAGCCAGGTTCAAATTTCACTTTATATTTCTAATTCTTTAATTTCACACATGTGCATTGTTTGATTTTATCGACTGCACATATAGTAAATAGGTCAGTTGGGCACTGTCTGTGTGAAAAAGAACACCATGAAGCAAATTCACATCAGAAATTTGTAAACAGCATGCTGTACTGCTTGGCATTTGTGCCAGAAGCTCCAATACAAACATTTCAGAGTGTTTGGGTGTCAATGTGAGGACAGTGCAGAGGATTTTAAAAAAGTCTAATAGTGATTGCGAAGGTGTTTGGAATGATCACTAGTGATGGTGAGGTTATACTTCTACTCATCTTCTCACAGGGCCTCAGACTCAACACAGAGGTTTACATCAAGTACCTTAAGGAGGTAGTGCTGCCCTTGGTCAACAGGATGGCTGCTGGAAGAGCCTATGTCTGGCATCAGGACTCTGCACCATGCCACACAAACAGCAGAACCCAGTCATGGCTGTCAGACAATTTCTGTGACCACATCAAATCTTACACCTGGCCACTTAACTCCCCAGACTGCAAACCCCTTTATTATTATGTGCGGGGAACAGTTGAACATGAGACCAACAAAACTCATTGTAACAACCAAGAGGCAAGGATTTTGGCAGAATTCACCAACTTAAACAAGGAGACTGTCCAGAAGAGTTGCAGGAAATTCTAAAGTCATCTGGAGGCTGTGTTTGAAGCCAATGGCAATTTTTAGTATTTCTGTCTGAATTTTACCTTTTTTTTAAAATGAACGAAATTTAAAGAGTATTTTATAATGTCTAATGGAGCTGAACATTATTTTTATGTTTAGATGCATTTAAACTGATCAAATTTTATTTCAGAGAACAATAAAATTAAATTTTGTTTGATTAAAACCCTGCTAACATGGAAGTACCCAAGAATAATTTGAGGCACATAATGCTTTATGAGTTCAAGAAAGGAAACTCAGCAGCCGAAGCGGCTAGAAACATTCACTCAGTTTATGGAAATTCAGAGGTGGAGATTTCACCCTTGAAGATGAAGATCGAACCGGATGTCCAGTTTGATGAAAAGCTTCTTGAAGCAACCCTTGAAGAAAATCCTGCTTTATCAGTTGAGGAATTGGCAGTGGTTCTCAGTTCAAACTGTACAACTGTTCATCGTCATCTTCAACAACTTGAAAAAGTTCCTAAACTTGGAAAATGGGTGCCTCATGAATTGTCTGAAAACAACCTCAAATCCCAAGTTGACATCTGCTCTTCTCTCCATTCTTGCCAACGTGTTTCACCTTTTTTGGATAGACTTGTGACTGGCGACGAAAAATGGATCTTTTATCGAAATGTTAAGTCAGAGACAGTGGCTTTGTAAAGGGAAGGACCCCAGCCACAGCCAAGAAGGGAACTTCATGGGCAAAAGGTTCTTCTTTCAATCTGGTGGGATTGCTAAGGAATAATCCACTTTGATTTCTAACCACCAAATGCAACAATTAATGCTCAAATATACTGTCAGCAATTAGAGCGTTTGAACCAAGCTTTGACGAAAAAAAGACCTGCTCTAGTGAATTGAAAAGGAGTGATGTTTCATCAGGATAATGCACGACCCCACACAGCAAGAATCACATCACAAAAGATTGAAGAACTTGGTTGGAAGAAAATTCCTCATCCACCTTATTCTCCCGATCTTGCTCCTTCAGACTACCATTTGTTTCATAGCTTACAGAATCATTTGGAAGAAACAGCTTTTGTAACACAAAAAGAGGTTAAAACTGACATTTGTGAGTTCTTCTGACATTTGTAAGCTTGTTAATAGATGGAAGTAAGTCATAATCAGGGAAAATACATTGTTGATTGAATCTGTAATTAAATGTAACATTTGGTCACTTGTTTTGTTTATTCAAAATTCGGACAGAACTTATGGGATGACCTGATATTTTTGTGTAATTTTGGTAAATATATCTGTTAAAATGAGATAGTGTTATTTTCACTTTTGTATATTTTAGAAGACAATTTATCCATTGCATCATATATATATATATATATATATATATATATATATATATATATATACACACACACACACATGTATACACACTGAAGAAAAGTTAGTTGTTTTATTGAAGTGAATTAAAATTAAAAGAATTACAAAAGGTATTCATCAAAGATTACATACCTGTACTGCACCAATTTGCGAAGTGGACACCAGACATTGAGATCTTTGTCATCAGATTTTAGAATCTAAATAAATAAATAAAATGTATGTTTGAAATAAAAAAAAAAATCAATTATTCTAATCTAGACAACTATAGTTTCTATAGCTGCGTTTAATGACTGACACAAGAGATTGGAGCAACACAATATACTCAAAACAAAAATAAATAAATCCTTATGTCAGACTATTCTGTCTCAAATACTAATATTTAATTCATTAATATAATTATTTACATTATTTGGACTATTGTCCTCATCTTTGTTGCCATATTTATCACGTTTCGGCCGTTGTACGCTCCGGCCTTCTTCAGGTGGTTGGAATGTCGAACTGAACCCTTTATTTCGCTCACTGGGGTAGACTGTTCTAGTTCCACGTACCATGTTTGATGTCAGTTATCAGTTATCTCCTGTTAATTTCCCTCTGAAAGTTCTCCACTGCCTTAACCGGGTATTGAACTCTTTGGGTCCTGTCACTGGATCTAACCAACGCCTTTATCCACTGTGTCCTTGAGGACATCTGGGTATGAATTTTTTGGTATTATAAACCTAATGTCTTCAGCAAAACTGAATGTTTCCTTATAAAGGAATGACTAATCTTACCATTATCATTAATGAAACTATTTTATTATCTACACTACAATGTAAATAAATTAAACAACCCATTTAGTTCAGATGATTTTCTTACCATATAAAATGATTATTTGTGTTCCAAGACAATTTCTGTTGTTATGTCAGGCCAGGCTAAGGCCTGGTAACATGTACTTCAGTACAATCTGCTAATCTGCCACATGGATGGGTGGTTGGTGTCTAAACCATCCCACTCACTAGCTTTTCTGCTGGTGAGAAGAGTGGCATGTCATTTCACAGGACAAAAAAAACAAGATCTGCCAAAGGGTGGATGAGATTCTTATATAAGTCAATGGCCAACATACAAATGGATAGGAAGGGGCAAACTTCCTAGAAATAGTATTTCAATAAAAACACTTGGTGTACTTGGACTATTGTGAATGTCTGAGTTGGGTGTCAAAAATACAGCCACAGAGGTTGTTTGAAATATATGGAAATTTCTGAAATATGATATATTTGATAGGGTCAGTTGACAGTCACAAGTCACAGGGAATTAGGCATCACCCTGGCAATAGCAAGAAGTTAAAAGAGGAAAGATGTGGTAGGTTTGAGTGCCTTTTCATTAAACAATGAATTGACAAATTAGCAATTAGTGAGAAGGAAAGATTTCTTAGTACAAAAAAAAATAAAATAAAAAAAAATTTCTCCCTCCTCAGAAATATTTCAATGAGAATTTTTGCCTATTAGCAAACATACACAGACCTGAAAGTGCTAGACAGTAACAAACAAAAAGACTGGATGTCTCTCTCTCTCCTTCACTGACAAGTAGTCAATAAAATTTCCTTACTAAGGGCAATAAAGGCAATCAAGACAGATCATATATGTTGTATTATTTAACTACAAGACAAAAGGAGGAGAAGGCAACCCAATCATGGAAACTATTGTTGCAATTGATTAGCACTACTATGGAACAGCAACAGTTGTTCCATACTGCCTTTCAAGTCACATACCAAACCACATGTTACAATGTGACACTAACATTTATCAACTAATTTGATCCAGATTAAACCAATCAATGCATATAATTGAGATAAGAATAAAAAAAACATTGCACTGTGAAGCTCATCTGTTTATCATATAGTGATAAGAAAGAAAAGAAGGTAAATATAAATATAATATACTAACCTCTTCTGTTGTCAAACCAAAATCATTTGGTACAACTGATCGATACTGATATCGACAAGGTTGATCTTCTATTAAATCTTCATAATCCAGCTTGTAGTACTCATCAAAATATTCATCAAATGTCATTTCATCTTCAAAGAAACAAGAGAACAAGAACTAAATCAATGCAAGTCCTTTCTAAATAACCGTTCCCAAAGGTTAGTGAAATGTATCAATTACAGCAAACATTTAGAGGTTAAAGACAAATTCTAATAAGAGACAGTAAAAATAAAATTAACCCATGGAGTTTATAATTCCCGGTGTTATAAACAAAGGGACTTTTGTGCTTTAGAACCTATACACATTAAGATATAATTTTAAGATCTAGGGGAGATAATTTGGAGAATCATTTTAGTAATTAATCTTATACTCAGATTTTTTTTAAAAAACTATACTGATCAAGATAGTATTTAATGTTCCATAGAGAATATGTGCCATTTTAATATATTTACAGGTTATGCAGTAGTAATTAGTACTTCATTTCTGGTTCAGATTTTTTGTGATTTCGAAAATAATAATGAATATGTTAAGGATAAGGTACAATGATTTTTATCAGAAACAATGATGTCCATTTTTTTCACAAAGGGGCAATATTTAACTGGTCCACTCATAAAAATGAGATAAGTTTTGGAGGGAATCATTTTTTTAGATTAGTATTTGGTAGACCTTCCTCTACTTATGACTTTTGTCAGAATCAAATTTTTTTTTTTTTCATCATTTTAAAATGAGACCCTATGATAATAAAATAGTGTCACATTGATCCCTGACTTCTTAATAAGTTATCTGTACTTTGTTTTTAGTTACAAGTGTCAAGTTTGCAACCAGGCTTATTACACCATTGATAACTACGTACTACTAATGTTATTCTTTTCTTCAATTTGTTGTATAAAACAGTTATCAATATCATAAACAGTTTCAAACTTCACATTTGTAAATAAAAACAAAGTACAGATAACTTTTTAAGAAGTCAAGTATTGATTTGACACTGTATTTATATTGTGAACAAGCCCATTCAACATTCTTAAATGATAAAATCAATATTTTTCAATTCTGGCAAATGTTGTGCATAGAGGGAGGTTGAATGAATACTAATCTATAAAAATTGTTCCAAAAAATAAAATTCTTCCCTAATTTTTATCCTCAATATAATTATTAAATTCATTATTACTGTATATACTTGAGTATAATAAGCACTTTTATGATCAATTTTTTATGCAAAATTTCTTGGTGGGAGGGGATCACTATACGTAGCTAATTTTTTTGAAGAGGTTAAAAATCATGCATTTTTGGTAACCAGTTGCACTATACTCAGATAATTTTTTTCTGGAGAGATTAAAATTCAGGAGTTGCACTATACATGAGATCAGCTTATACACAAATACATATGGTGAGTTCATATAAATTTACAAATTGGACAGACAGACAAGAGGTTTTCTTTTCTATGTCTTCATGCAAAAATTCAAATATCAGGGAAAAAAAACATAATTTCTCCTTTTTACCTCCATTAAAAAATGCCGGTTTTTCTTTCTTTGATTTTCTTTTCCGATTCCTTCCTTTCTTTTTTCTTTGATACTGGGTGGGATCGTAATCAGCATCCATCTGAAAATGGCAAAGGAAAAAAAAAATATTTCACCAAAATTTACACATTTTTAGATTTAGAAACAAGGTGTTTGAAATTTCTGTGTCCACCAAAGGAGGTATTAATATAACTAGTGATCTCTAGGCATGGTAAGATTTTCAATTTATTTACTTGATATTTTACAGCAGCATTTCTCAACCAATGTACCCGGTGCACTAATGTACCCTGAAAGGTAGCCAGGGGTGCCCCAAGTTAGCAGAAGAGTAATTTATGAATTATTTTTATATTTAAAAAAATCTTTATTTTTAAAAACATCAAACACATGTAATGTCTTAAAAATAAAAATAAATGCTTATTTCAGGAGATTTTATTATTTTCCTATTTTTAGATTTCATGACTAATTTTTCATTATTAAAATTTAAAGTGTGCTTTACAGTTACAATAGCTTTTGAATGAAATGTAAGCATCAGTTGTAAGATTGAATAGAAACACAAATATATAGCATTCCTTGATTGAACTGTTAAAACAACTGTACAATAGTGTGTGTGTGTGTGTGTGTGTGTGTATGTGTGTATATGTATATTTTTTTTTTCTAATGACATGAAGGAATAAAAATAAAGAAAAAAAATTTAATTAAGAAAATAGTTTCAATTGATTTTAGAAATCCATTCATGACAAGATATAAGCATATAAGTTTCAATTGATTTTAGAAATCCATTCATGACAAGATATAAGCATATAATTTATGTTGAAACTTTTCTGAGGAGGAATTGTCATTATTATTGCCATTTGGACAAGGATGCTCATTTTAGTTGTAATATATTTTGGCTGTCATTCTCTTGGGCCTTCTTCAGGTATCTACCATTGTACTTGGTAACCAGAATCAAAATCTTGAAACAAACTCTTTATTCAGTCACAAGGGCAGATTGTTCTCATTCTATTTTCCACACTTAGGCAATACATTGTATAAGTTAATAATGATATACATTTTCATTGCTCAAGTTGAAATTTATCCTGTTAATGCTCACTCATCATGATAACAGAGCAAGCAATATAAAAACAAAATATCTCTAGACATGGACAGCAGAATGTGAACAATTTACCTCCATAGATTAAATAAAGGGTTCATTTTGAAATTCCCTGAAGGTTACCCTGATGAATATACACCTGAAGAAGACCCAAAATGTTTTAATATTAACAACAAAGATAAAGACACTAGTCTAAATGTAAATAATGATAACTCCTCATCCCTGAAATTCAGACAGAAACTATAATTCATACTAGGCTTATATTTTAATTTTTATAATTAATACCAGATTTTATGATAGCCATTAATAGGTTAACCAAACTATCTGACATATTTGAAGCAGATGAAATCCATTTTAAATTATTTATTTTCTAAACCCTAATCCTGAACCATTCTTCAACCAATCACAAATACCACCTTCATCAAACACTTGAATATAACCAGAGACAGCCGATAAAATTTTATACTATAATTAAATTTATGCAATAGGCAAAAAACTCTAATAACCAACTTTCAGGGTGACATGATGATTTCACTCATTACTAATGTAAAGTACACAATTGGTCAAAAGATTGGGGAAAGACTGAATTTCAAAGAATTGCTTACAAATTGAAGGTGATGCATCTTTTTCAAAATTAATTTACTAGCTCACTTTGGGCCAGAGGGAATTTCTCTTCCTGAAAGCTTTTATCATATATTCAATAATAATAACAAAATTAAATCATTACTGCATAAAATTTGTTTAACATTTTAGTTCCTTCTGCTTCATCTATTTTGCTGGCTAATGGTAATCTTAGGGCTGGTGGATTTTAAGTTTTATTCAACCCTCTCTCTAAAAACATTGGGCACCATGGGTTAAATAGTTTCAGTATTCTAGCTTAGTAGGAGTTAATTAAACCAATGAAGGCATGAAACTTATTAATTATTAAATCCAGAAGGTGGCCTCAAACTTTTGGCCTAGAGTGAATATTTCATGTTAATGAAAGTGTTTATAGACTGTTACTATTTCAAAGGCTTCTGTTCTTTTCTTTTTTAAAAGATAATAAAAAAATAGTATTGAAAAATGGATAAATTGTTGTTTTTTTTATTTACCAAAACTTAATATCTTCCTTCAGTTGCCTGATTGTAATTACTACATTTGTCAGGCTGTAAGACTCATTGTTTATAAGGGTGCTTCAAGAAATACTACTCACTGCAACTTGTCCAAGTACTAGTCTGAACTTTGGAAGACGGCCCCCTAAGTCATAATACCAGCACATTAGGTGCAGTATAACATTCGTATATTTTTCTTCTAATTTAAATGTGGGTCTTATATGTCAGCAAATGTGGTAACAATTTTGTATTAAGTAAGGGAGATAATTTCTATAAAACTTTTGAGGAAAACATTACTATTTATTTTTTTTTTAAGGATGTAGAACTGGGATTACTAAAGTAGGGTGGCGGAAAAATCAAGCAAGTGCAGTAAGAGGGTATTTATAAGACAGGGGTGGTATTCTAATAGCCATGTAATAACTTTTCTGAAAATCTATGTAACAAAATCTAAGTCCCTTAATTTAAGGAACATGTATGTTTTACAAGGAATAAAATTAGTATAACAATTATACATGAAGACATAATTTGATTTTACTGTCTGAAGTTAGAACTCTGAACATTTGTTTGTATCTTACTGATGTTATCCTGACAGAACACACCACATGGCTGCCAGATCAAGGGGCAACATTCTTGGTTTGTAAGTATAATGATATAGTCATAGATGTTTGCTTGGCAACATCTTACCTAATTACATCTAAGAAAAGCTGTGATTGATAAATGCATACTTCTACAAATTGGAAAAAAGGACATCAGTAGTACACAGTTATCAATAACATACACAGATTCAAACATGACATTTGTAAATAAAAACAAAGTATATATTACTCCTTAAAATGACAGGGGTTTATTTAACACTGTGTTTATATTATGAACAGGACCCCACTTCTAAAATTATAAAAAAAAAAAAAAATCAATGTTTTTTTTTATTCTTACAAAGGTAATGGGAGAGAAATGCTAATCTACAAAAATTCATTCCCTCCTCCCAAATTTTTTCTTGCTTTCTTTTTATAAGTGGACCTCTTGATTTAAGTAGTACCTGGTGATGCTTTAATTTTCAAATTTATGATTTAACTTTTATCTGGGATTATGGAGTTGCTTTTAGAAGAGATTGATTGATTTGTTTTTTACAGCTTATCAGACTTTTACAGGTTATTTAAAGCCAAAGATTATCTTTAAACTAAGAATTTTTTAGAGATAGTAATGATTTATTGATACAAGTCCTACTAATTAACCCATAGCTAGGAGTAGAACAAATGGATTCATAACTTTCTCAAGAGTATTTGAACCTAATTGAATATAAAGAACCTGGCTGGAATTTGAACTCAGCTCTCTGATTTCCAATTTGAGCCATTATCCACCTGCACATCCAAGCTTACAGCAACTGGTACTCGCAAGAAGTCATCTATTTAGGTACTGATCAGGCTCAACATTAATTAACTTTAGTGATCATACTAGAACTGGTATTACCATGTGACATGGCCATAAGCCCGTTTTTAGAAGAGAAAAAAAAGATAGAAATGTAATTACTAATAAAGTACTCACATTGAAATTTGGATCCTCAATGTCAAGCACTTCTTGGTCATCGTAATTATATTCTGGCATTTCATCATTATTTTCATGTTCTGCCTGTCCCCCAAAATCATCTGACCAAATGAGAGAGAAACAATAATTCAGAAAAACACAAACATTACATCCACTTGTCCATCATAAGAAATGGATCTAGGTAAATTGCTCAAAATCAATTGCTCGAAAAATAATTTCTCAGACTATCAGTTGCTTGAAAGGCAGATTGCTCAAAGTAATTTCGAAGCTCGAAGCACCACGTAAACTGCACCATCTCACGACACGTCAACAGAGCTGGATATAAAAGGAGCCACAACACTCAACTTTAGCAGTCCTGATTTTTTTTTCTATATTTGTTTTCTATTTCTATTTCAGTAATTTTGGAGATCTCGAACCCTAGTGATGGACATAACTTTTGTTGAGAGTGAAAAAGGAAAGAAGTTGTGTTTGGATGGATATATATATATTAAGGACAAAACAGTGAACAATAAGATTTACTGGAAATGTGAAATGTGCAAAAAAAAGGAAATGCTTAGCATGTGTTTTATTTTTTTTTAACCACAGGTTTCAAGCAAACTGCCTTTTGAGAAAAAAAATAAGACCTGCTATATAAATGTACTCGTTCTTTAATTTTAACTGTTCAGTTAACAACAATAAAGTTGTTATTTTATCATATAGTAAATATTAGAAACAATGTAGTTTTTTTTTTTTTTTTAACCACAGGTTTCGAGCAAACTGTCTTTCAAGCAATTGATAGTTCAAGAAATTATTTTTTGAGTAATTGATTTCAAGCAATTTACTGTCAAGCAATTGATTTTGAGCAATTTGCCAGATACGATAAGAAACAACTTAAAAATTGCTTTCATTTTTTTTTTTTTTTTTTTATATTTCTTTATTCTTTTACTTAAAATATTTCCCTTGTTTTAATGCCATATCCCTTCAAGATGCATGTGATCCTGACTCTTCACAGATTTTCTTTTTTTGGGGATTATCTGTGAATGGCCATGTATTCTTGGAAAAGATAATGGAAGTGATTTTCTGTTACCTTCTCCAGGGTGTAAATTCAGAGTTTTTCCTTCTCTTAGACCGTTTGCCACACAAAGTGAGAGCCTAGTAAACACTGCTAATTAACCCATAGCTTGAAAGGGAAGAGACGGATTCATGCCTTTTCCAAGGACATTTATATGAAAGTGAACACAACAGATGCCAATATCTGTTACATTAACCACACATTTGGCTTTATACAACCATTCAGCTAAATTGTTCATTTTCAATTCTAGCTTTGTTTCTGTAAATTTTTAAAGAATTTTTAAAAATATTATCAACTTGTTAGAACTGCCAAACAAACAGGGGTGCTGCAGAGAGCAAAACAAGTGATATGCCATTATTTGATAAAACAAATGACATGCCACATGTTGACAAACTTACCATTCCATTTCGGTTCTATGTATCAACTGCAAATGTCATCAGTAATTCAGATATAAATATAATGCAATATGGATGACAGTAGTTTCCGTTTTATTGTAACTAATGAAAATTCAGTTCTATCTATCAAGGTATCAAATAAGCATGTCCTCCGACAACTAAATAATGCCCAAAAGCTATTTAGAGGAAAATTTCAGTTTGTTTTTCTCTTACATCAAAATAGCAAAGTGGGTTATAACCAATAAAGAGCTTTGCAAATATCTTTATGAAACTGAACAACCCAGTATAGATTTATCGTCTGATAATGAAGAATTTTTTGTCACAACTGACAATTTATTGGATAACAACCAAACAAATACACCAAGTCCTTCCAAAGGCAGAATGATCACTCATCAAAAGCAAAATAATATATTGATTTAATTTTTTATTGGAACTTGGATGTCCAAATTAAAGAAACCAACCCTGATAATTTTTTAGAGATTTTTTTTAATTTATTTACAGTGCGGAAATAATTTTTTAATCATCTACAACTCAAAAGTGGGTTTTTATAAATAAATATTTTAATATATTACGGGGATGCAAAATTTAATTAAGCAATAAAAAGAACATGTTAAAACAAGAAAAATTAACAAAAAAAAAGGGGGTAACAAAAAAGTAATATTACCATAAAGTGGTAATATTGAAAATCAATTAACAAAAAAAGCTGTTAAACCAGTTTATCAGAGCTTAATCAAGGATGATGCACATTGACTAAAATTAACATCAAAGGCCAATTAAAATATATAAAAATCATAGGCTAATTAAATTTAAGCCAAACAACCACTCCTTCTTACAAAGAGATGGCTGGTAGGACTTAATGCAAATTGATCCCAATACTTTCAAATGAAATTCAGAATTAGCCTTCCTCAGTATCGAGAATATACTTTGGTTGTAAGACTGGACATGTTACTCTTTTTTTTTAACAAATCTTCAGCTATTGCCAAACCAGCTGTATTCACACACACATACCATTTTTTGTTTCCTCTCCAAAGCATTTTCTTTAGTAAGGTCTATTTTTTATTGATATTATTTACAATCAAATTCAAGTAGGAAAAAAGAAAATTGCTCCAAAAATTTATATTACCACCACATTTAACAAACAACAAATGAGCCTGCTCTTGTTATGAACAGGTTAGAACCAAAATTTTAAAGACCAAACTAATTAAAATCTATAACTAACATAAAAGGAAATCAATAATGCTTACCATCATAAATTCCATCCATATTGCCATCAGAAAAAACAGGTTTTTCAGTGTCTTTTTCATTGTAATAATCTTCATTAAACATTTTCTGAAAGAAACATGATAAAATCACAACAAAGAATAAAATAATTATATTTCTCACAAACAACAATGGTCAGCATTTAAAGTGCAACTAAAAAAAAAGCCATGATTTCAAATGCTGAGTGTTGGTTCCAATCCATTCATGAATGACTGCAAAAACTTCCCTTCCCCAAATTTATAGACAAAACACATAGATGTATGATGGGATTTCTTCCTAGCCAATAAGATAGGCCACTTCTCGAACTTAGTTCTATTCTTTCTTGTCTTGAAGCCAGAACACTGTGATTGCTTGCCTGTATCCCACTTTTGTGTTAACACCATTCTTTGTGAACATTTTTCCTTATCACTGTTGTTTTGCCTGACATATATTGTTTGCTTGATTAATATTATTTTTACTCTGTTCTTTTCTTTCTTTTGTTATTGATTATTGTAAACTTTGTCAGTTCTGTTTGTTGGGCATTTCTACTAACTACATTTAACCATGGTCATTTACTCTACAAAGAGCAATATAACATAATTCTCCTTCATCCATTTTCTTTTATTTGGCATTGTGCAGTACTAAGTTAAGTTTAGTAAACTGTCAACAATCAATGGTTAACATTAATAAACTATCAATAAAACAAAATGCAAAGAAAGAGTGCTGTATAAAGAGAGAAGAGTGAAGCTAATATTTGAGAGGTTGAGATAATTGAACAGAAAAAATCTAAGTCTGTTAAGCTTTTAATTTCTTTTAAGGTGGCAATTAAACTATTTATGCATGATGCCAAAATAGTTGCACACCAAGTTAACAGAAGAGTAATTTATGAATTATTTTTATATTTAAAAAATTTTATTTTTAAAAAGCTAGAGACATCAAGGACATGGCTTCCATATCTATGTCAAGTCTTTGTCATTTGATATTTTAAATTGGATGCTAAATTCTTTAATCTTTAAGGAGTGGATAACCCTTTCTCTTTTGCTTTCAAAGGATTTAAATCAGTCATTATCAGCCTCTCTAAAAAAACAAAAAACAGCAATAGCTTTCTAAATCCCTTCAAACAAAAATTTCATATTTTCAAATTTCATGATTAATTTTTCCTTATTAAAATGTAAAGTATGTCCCAGAGTTTTAGTCACTTAACAAGTGCACCCTGAAGTAAAAAAGGTTGAGAAACATTACATTAGACTAAACATTTATGTACCATAATGAAGAGATTTAAATTCTTCATTATACTAAAAAAATATTATAGTCTAATAGGCTTGGCAATCTGAACAGATTATAACAATGTCTATTTAGTTGGGCATCATGAATAAACATATTAATGGCATAATTCTAAGAGATTTTAGTTTTATTTGAAATCTCTTATTCCTAAACATTTATTCCAAAACATATTTACTGGATGCACATGTTTGATTAGACATCCCAGTGTTTTTCTATTTCTTTTTTTTTTTTTTAAACAATGTAATCAACTGTCTATATTTTTGAGATGAGGTATTTTAACTATTTACACTACATTGTTCGGACTGTTGTGCTCATCTTTATTGCTATATTCACAATGTTTTAGCCATTGTACACTCCAACCTTCTTCAAGTGATATACGTTGGAATTTTGAACAAAACCCTGGGGGTAAATTGTTCTAATTCCATGTGCCATGACTTTGTATATCTCTTATTTAAACATTGTGAATAAGGCAATAAAGATGAAAACAACAGTCTGAACAATGTAAATAGTGTAAACGAAATTGACATTTAATGTCCTGGGCAATGAAAAGTTTTAATAAAGAAAATGTATTCCTCAGCAGGGATTGAATCTGCATCCCCCTTTTATTAGGAAAACCACCTTTAAGTTAAAAGTGGTTAAAAGTGGTTTTCTAAATATAAGAAGAAATCAGGTTCAATCCTTGCCAATTTACTTTATTAAATTGCTAACTGTAACCATTAGTTCTATTGTAATAGTTTCTTCTCTCCCATTTCTCACTTTCCTGTTAACTATGATCTTCAAAAATTTAAATGCAACATATTCTGTCACTTTGAATCCTGCTCTTTTTATTGTATTTTCTTCTCAGTTTCCATCACTCTCAGTAATTAACACCTTGTGCTTTAGTGATTTTATCATCTTGCTTGGGATGAAATGATTTGAAAAAAAAACAAAACAAAACAAAAAAGACATTCAATTACTCAAGCTGGTATATGCAAGTTACGTGACTTAAAACAATAAAGACAGAGATCTCAGCTAAGCATGTGTAGCCACTAAATATAACATTTATAGTTTTAAGAAATAATGTCAGATTTTTAAAAATTCATTAATTCCTAAAAAATTACCTTGAAACATATGATAATAGAAATTTTACTACAAAGCAAAATAATCAAAATGACTGATACTTTTTGAGCAAAAGTGAAAATAGAAATGTTTATTGTAGGAAGACAGGAATAACAAACCTTCATCATTTCATCATGCTGTTTAGAATCAAATTCCTGGTCAAGATCTAAGTCTTGAATTCCAAGAGAAGAATTCCCAGTAATCTGTTTCAATTCAGCAATTTTATCCATAATTTCCTTCTTTTTCTTCTTTTTAATCTTTTTCAATTCTTCTTGTTTCTTTTCCATTTCCTCAAAATACAAAAGGCAAGGAGTAAAATACCACATAATTTTAAAAGTTTTCACATAATACAGCCATATAAACAATTTCTTATAATGCATTCTTATAAACATTTTCAAATATTTTTATACAACAAATTATCATATTTTAATCTGAAGCATCAACTTTCATTTTGAAATTAGAGTCTATGACTTTAACAATGCTGCATTATGTTAGCATTGTTGCATAGCTATGCTGACCAATTTGGGAAAAATAATAAATTTACTTAAAACACACTGACGGCAATTTCTCATGGATGTAGTACAGACTAAGCTAACACAAAATAAAAATGTCATAAAATAGGCTTTTCAAAGTTAGTTTATAAGACAAATACTAGCAAATGACATTTCAGTGTCTTAAAATGTATATATATGTCAGCAGCAAGCAATATAAGTTTCATAAAGACATATATGCATGCCTTGAAAATGTATATATACATTGATAGCAGGCAATGTAAGTTTTGTAAAGGCATATATATATGCCTTGAAAGTATTGCTGATACACCCTGATGAGTTGGCTGAGTGGTTGCTGGAGGGTCTGTCTATGAAACTCTGGGATGCTGAAGGTAACTCCAATCTGCTAAGGGACAAACTCTATATTTGTATTAATTATATATAATGTCAACTACAGACAATGCAAAATTCATAAAGATGTATAGGTAAATCTTGAAACATTTATTTATATCAATTGCAAATAATATAAGTTTTGTAATGATGTATGTCTTAAAATGTATATATACATCAACAGCAAACAATTTAAGTTTTGTAAAGATATATCCATGTCTTGAAAACATATGCATATGTCAACTGCAGACAAAAGCAAGATTCATGAAAATCTATAGGTACAGCTTAAAAATGTATATATACATCAACCACAGGCAACATAATTTTTTGTAAAGATATACATGTCTTGAAAATATATGTCAACTGCAGTCAATGCAAGTTTTGTAAAGACATATAAATACAACTTGAAAACATATACATGTTAACAGCAAGCAATATAGATTTCATAAAGATATATGAGTACATCCACGTCAGTGGAAGTGTTAAAGAAAGAATAATTGAGATCAGATCAAAATTAACTAAGACTTGCTTTGTAGTTTATATTCACCACTATTGACAGAGATCAGTATTCAAGCTCAGGTAAAGATTAGAATTTTTAATACTGATTTTCAAAGCAGACAGGAGATGAGCACAACACAATCTTCCTATGCACATCATTGCAGCAATTTGGCCTCATACTATATACTAAGCTAATATTACTGATATCAAATATATATTTTTGCCTAAATTTCTGAAATGCTTTGTAACTATTATGCATTATTGATTCTTTCAGACACGTTTCCGTTTGTCTTAAAATAATTCTTCTATTGTTGTAACCCTTCAGGAAAGCATACAGTAGTTGAAATATTGTCAGAAAGACAAAGAAAATCATCCTAAAGAATCAATGTATAATAATAACTGGTTCAACATTTTCCATATTGAACTGTTCAATATGGCAATTTTCTCTGTCTATGAAGGAATGTGCTCTGATATTAAGAATTTTCCAGATGGATTTTTAAAATAAATTTCAAAATTGAAACTTTTGGATTCTTGGGAGAATATTTCTAGGTTGACCTCAAGATTTTATAAAATCTTCTGGCTTTTATTTTTAAAAGATGCAATTAAAATCAGAAATAAACCAGGTTAAAATAGGAATAAAACCTCAACCTTTTGTCAATCCACAAACCTTTTTTTTTCTTTCCATGACTTTTTTCCTTTTCTCTGCCCGTTTATTGTCTTCCGGTCGCACTGAATCCTTGATTCTTCTTGGATAACTTTTAATCTGAAAGAACAAAATATTCCTTACATCAAATGCAATTCTAAACAAATTCAATTTTAATCATCCACTAATTTTTCTTTTAAATCTGCATTTAAAAAAAACAAAACAATCACAATAATAAGAAACTGAAACAAACTAGTCTATAAGTATAATTATTTCATCACTAGTTTTTCTTTTTAAAATAATTATTCTGAATTTTTGACTGAGTAATGCAAGCATGAGAAATTCAGTTGAGTAAACTATTACTCTAATAAATATATTTTGTTATTTAACAATTCTCATGTATGAGTTCACAATCTCCTCAGACATTTTTTGACATTTGATTGGTTGTCTGAAAAGTTCATCATTTTGGACCTCAGATCAACTGGCCTTCAAATGCATGTGCGACTCTGTGTTTCAAGTAAAGAATGTTTATCAAAAGGCTGACAAAGCATTTTGAGGTTCTTAATAGTGAATTTGCTCACAAAACTTAATGCATGCATCTTGTTCAAATTTGTCAGCCATTATGAAAATCAAGAAGCATGCCAACACAATATCAAAAAACTGTTTCATAATAATTGAACATCGGGAGATGGTAGACTGATTTAGTAGGTTGAGTACCACAGTGCATTAGCAATGTGCATATATATCCACTGGACAGTACAATCACAGCAAGTTGAGACCTAGAATTTTTCAATACCGCATTGTATAGAACATCCTCAGCCTTACCTATATACAATTACTAGTAATCTATAGTCTGGGTAAACATTAACCTTCCAGATACCTCAACTAAAACCCTAAAGATATTATTTCAAACTTACTCATATAATTATTTATGTAATTGAAAAATTAAGCTTAAATTTAGCATCTAAACTAACCATGTTATTTCTCAAAAATATTTATCAAAATTTCTTTTGATCAAGTGCACAGGGAATTTAACTTACTTCCATTTTATTTAAAATCTGAAGTTGTTTTGAGGAGAGAAGAAAATGCAAAGGAATCAGTTAACAAAAATGCAAACTTTTCATCTGACCTGAGAATTCATGATTGCTGTTTGATTGGACAATGCCAAAATCTTTTCTCCCTCAATCAAAATCTTAATGTCTTTTATCATTCAGTTGCAATGATTGGATTTAACCAATATATTTTAGAACAGGGATCTCCAAATTGATTGATATTGACCACTGGGGAATGATGAGACTATTTAGAGAGTCAATAAATGCAAGGGATTGAACCAAAACCTGACATTCATTGAAGTCAAGAAATAAGCATTTCAGACTGTGACCAAGAGATACACATAAGGCAGCTAGAGATATACATGAAGTACCTAGAAAAATTAAGGGAAGACTTTAAAGCATGTTTCATAAAATGCACATATCTGTTTGATTTAGAAATAAATCTTACAAGATGAAATCTTTGATATGTATAGGGATCTTGTTCAAAAATAAAAAGGATCAGTGACTATTGGAGTAATATAAATACTACTCCTAAATACCCCAAGATTGGTGCAGCAGGTGAGACATTTTTATTTGCACCACCAAGTTTGTATATGCATGAAACTGGTCGTAGCCACACAAATGCAATTCTAATCAAGCAGAGGAACAAACAGACCCTAAAAGACCATGGTGATTTACAACTAAAACTCACCAATTTTCAACCAAATATCAATTCCCTTGCTACTACTCATTAAAACATCCTTCCCATTAATGATGTCAACCAATTCAATAAAAAGAAATAAATATTAATTTAAAAAATTATTTTTAATGTGTTTACTATTATCATTATTATCTATGGAGTTTTTTCTCAATATTATTATTATTATTTGAACAAACAGATCTACAGAAAGAAAGAAAAATTAAAATTGAAAAAAGAATAACAAAACAATGATAAAAGACAAAAGAATGTCTACACTTAAACAAAAAATAATTATATTTTTGTGCATGCCTGGAGATTTATTTTCAAGGATTCTATGTAGGAGTCGATAGTCTAAAATGTTTTGAGATTTCTAACTTAGAAAATTAAAAATATAAGGAGAACACAAACTGTTCTTTACTCTTCTTACTTAGCTTTTTCAATATTAAGATTTTCTCAATATTTAGGCAATGTTTTTGCTTATAGCAGTGGTTCCGAAACCTTCTTTTCTCTGGACTGCATTTTCAGAATGAAAATTTTCTTGCGCCTCACCAAATTTTATGTGATAAAAAGTACAATAAAAAACAAAGATGTTTAATGGAGATAACTGCAGATTCAAAGTCATAACATTACAATTGATAACTCTCTCCTCCAATTTTCAGACACTAGTTACTATATTCTTAATAATTGATATAATGCAAAAGTATCACATTGATAAAATCAGTCAATAATTATTTATAACTATTATATATGGAAACTTGTGCATGCAATTACAAGTAATCTATAATATTTGAAATTTTGAAATTATATTTATTTTTGGCATATGAATTTTTTGAAACTGTTTCTAAATCTTTGATTGTCTTTCAATCATTCGATCTCATCTATGAAGTGCAACGTATTATTTGGGAACCACCGTCTTACAGTATCTGTTCTTCTTAATGCTTATTTGCTGCTATGAATTTCTAATTATCTACTTGAAATTGTTATTAGTTTTTAAGTTATGTATGAATGTGGATAAACTGAAATAATTAATGTTGGAGGCAAAAATGTTATGCCCAATATTTTTCATATATTTGTGAATAATGGATGTAAAAATAAAATGAACAAAATTTGGTCATATTTTTTCAAATTTCTGGCATAAATTTTATTCCAAAATATAAAGTTAAAATTGAACTTACAAAATTTTTATCAGGTTCTTGGAATCTAAAGTTATAGTCTCTCTCAAAGTCTTCCTGTTTATAAAGAACCTTTTCTTCTTCATCAAATGATTCTTCATCTTTAACAATGTCTTCATAGGAAGGAATCCTGTATTAAAACAAAATTATGATAAAAATATTTCAGTCGTGTCTCATTATATTCCTTTTATAGTAGGATAGTTTTACAACATTGCAAATCTGGTTTTTTATATAATTTTCAATAAACATTAATCATTTGATTTACTTTCAAATTCCTTTGGTTTATTCTTTTAATTCACTCACTGTAATTTTGTTATTAAAAATGTAACATGTTTTAATGAATAAACATACAAACATAGTTATATTTTTAAAATTTGTTTTTAAACTATATTTGTCCTTTTTTTAAGCAATGAAAAAAACTAAGAAATTCTTTGCTAACAGTTTCTTCTTTCACACTTGTTGCTTATGAAACTCTTCCAGCTTCTTGCTTCCCCGTCAACTTTGATCTTCAAAAATTTAAATGCTGTGTCAATCATTATCTTCTTAATTCCTGTTTTTTTATTGTTCTCGCTCCTTGATAATAGTTTTTCTCATGTTCTTTAACGCTCACTAACCTCTTGCATCCTAGTGGCTTTATTGCCTTACTTTGGGGTGAAATGATTAAAACAAAATAAAAATAAAGAAATGACATTAATTACATTTTTAAAATAAAAGTGATCATCAATTTTTCCTGAAAAACATTTTGGCCAAACCTATGCAGATTTATTTATACATATTTTTGTAATTTTCAAAGACACTTGAGAGCTACATAGCAGGGGAGCCAAGAACTGTAGTTTATTGCTAAAGTGGATTTAGGAAAATAGACAAATCAGGTAAAGGAGGTTGGTGTAGAAACGGGAAGAAGTAGACATTTCTTGTGGCATATTCTTAACTTTTTCTTTCATCAAAATACATTACAAAAGAATTTATTCACAAGGACTTTCATTTCCTCTACAGGCATTCACAAACTTTACAAGACTCTAAACACTTTGTAACCTTGTCTTAATATTTCATTTCTACCACTTCCAATTTCTACCAACACCTGTTACAGGATTTGTATATCTGCCCATGTCGACTTTAGCAATAAACTAGTCATTGGCACTTGCTCATCTGCTATGAAGCTATCCAGGGTCACACATGTATTTATAATTGTATTACATTTGCCATTTAAAATTTTAAAGAAAATAAAATCCTTTAATAAAACATCATCATTATTTCCCTCCAAAATGTTTTAAAAGCCACAAACTTCTCTTTGTTCTTGTCTTTGTAACCTTTATTGAGGATGTAATCACGTAGAAATTGTTCACCATCATCCAAGTCAGGTTTTGACCAATAATCTTTGAGGATTGACTACAAAAAATAAAACAAATATACAAAAGTTAGGCAAAAACATCTTATTGAAATTTATTAGTTTTTCAATGAATTATCTGAATAATGACAATTATTAAGAATTTTTTAAAGATTATTTGGGTAATCATGCAGAAAAAGATATTATTTTTTCTTTTTACTCTATGCACTAAATCTTGTCAGAACATGAGCAATCATGGTTCTCCACAAATTTGTAGTTCTTACTAACATTTGTCTTTTTATCCTTCAGCCATTAGGTAGGTAGCCAAAAGCATACCTGTCCCTTTTGCTTTCAATATGTTCTGTGTCAAATTTTCCAAACCTTCTTTCCTCATTATATGTATAAGAAATTTCAGTTGTCACTTTCTGATTATGAATATAAGTGCCCTATTTGTTTCAATTTTCCTTAATAGTACCTCGTTTACACACACAGTCAATTGTATTCCCAGCCTACTTCTGTAAAACAACATTCTGTTGTTGTAAGTCTTCTCTTCATTTGTGAGGAAATTGCAGAGCATTCACTGCTATATAGGTGGATTGATATTACATAGAAATTCAACACTTTCTAATGATATTAGTGTACATAAAACATATATCACCTGAAGAATGTCAGAGTGAACAACAGCTGAAACATGAATATGGCAATAAAGATGAGGACAACAGTCCAAACGATGTAAATAGTTACAATACCTCATCTCAGAAATATAGAAAGAGATTAATTTTATATTTACAAGATTCTCAAAATATGTGATTATTCAAATTGACTGGCAATTAGCTGATGCTTTGCCAACCATTTCAAAGACTAGGCTTTGTCAGTTGCTTTGGTCAATGTGTTTAGTGTCCATTCTTCATTTAAGATCACTTCATCAGTCATCACTTGGCTCAAGTCAAGATTCAGAGCTTTGATTATACTGCTGCGGGTTTCCCAGTGACTGGGATAGGCAGAAGTCAGCTAGCTCACATTCCTTCTTCCCAAGCATATACCTGTTAAGTGGGCTAATGTGGGCAAGTCTGCACTCCTGCACATCATTCCCAATGCAGTTCTTCCACATCTTTCTAGGTCTACCTGAACATCTGTGACCAAGAACCCTGAAGGTATTCTAAATGCAGATTTTCTAGGCATACATCACAAACTTTTAGAAGCATTAGCAATGATTTAAATTTTTTTCAAAAATTCAAGTAGGAAAAGAGTTAATATGTAATTGATGGAGTTTCAGGTGCTATTGATTAGGCATCCTTGATCACAATTATAAAAAATTTGAAAATTAAAACAAGAAGTATTCTGAGATACAAAATAATCTAAGAAAATATATAATATTCAGAAAAATCAGGCTTATTTAAATTTTCTTGTTCTATAATTCCCAGACGTTTTTATACATTTATGAATAAAGAAATGTTTTTATAGTTATTTATTTATAAAATGCTAAATAATACTGCATTCACATATTTTTATAATCTTGTAAATATAAAATGAATCTTGTAAATAAACAATAACTAAATAGTGTGTAACATTGTTGTTGTTATTCAAATTCTACACATAACATTTTTAAAACAATAAACATTTCTGAAGGAGTCGAGGAAGTATACAGTAATAGTAATCTCAAAAATTCCCAAAATGTCAGTTACTTCCCTTTTCCAGATTCAAATTGTTAATACTAGAGTTGCTCTGAAAGCAATGCATCCTGTGTCAGAAGTAAATGATGGTCTAATGGTAATATTAGCCATTTCCTTATAAGAAAACATCCAGTATCCATTGACTGAGCATCTTGTACTACTTTCAATTTGAATTTATAAAATCATTCTATTAAAACAATTTTACAGGAAAACAGGTCCAGTATTGATATCAGATTCCTTGCTAAGCTTTTGTTTGTAGTAGTGTGTTGAAAGTCCTCAAGTAACATAGTTTCTGTTATTTGGTACAGTTCTTTATGATTATATAGTGTCAGTCCAAGAGGTTTTAAGAAGAGTGTTCCTTGCTAAGACCTACAGGCTTCATTGACTCAAAGCCATTTTTAACCACTGACCTGAGAAAGTGGATGTCATGTTCAGAAATATCTAAAATGTCAGCTGTATATAACATACAGCTGATATTTTAGATATTTCTGAACATGACACCCATATGAAAGTCTCCATCTGAGAAGACTAAGAACATGAAATAAGTATTTAGATTAATGTTTTGGTTTTGTAGCATCTGGTGGTGTTGGGTAAAACTAACTCTAGCACAACCTATTTTATATTCAATTTCATTATTTCCTATACTAAATTTTTTATAACTGATCTATACACCAAGGTATTTGAAAGGTTTAGTATTTACTTATTCCACATCATGAATTTTTATGATGGATGCAGGGTAAGTGCTATCATTGCTTTCATTCCCATTCCAGATCATAGTTTCTGTTTATCTTGAGTCCTACTTCTTAGAACACTATGCTATATATGGCATATGCAAGAATCAGATCCCTTTGAGCGTATAGTATAATCACTAGAAAATTTCATTAAATATAGTCCAGTATTTTTTCACGTTTTTTTTTCATATAACTCTGTTAACTTACCAATTCAGGTGCAAGTTTTTTATCTCTTTTTAATTTCTTCTTCTTGCCCTTAAGGAACATGCGGTACTCCTCTTCAGCACCTTCCTCTTCCTGAAGAATAAAAAAAAAACAAAATATGCATAGTTTGGATTTAATATACAGATTTAAGCTTAGGACAAATCCATATGAGCAGTAAGACGATTGTGTTGCACCAATCTTCAAAATGTGCACAATTTGCTTGGAAACCAAAATTCAGGTCTGTGCAGAAAATATTTGACCATGGTGCCTTAGTAATGGTAATATTAGCCGTTTCCTTATTATTATATAGGAATAAAGTGTCGCTGCTGACACTTGAGTTTGAACATAGATCACCAGTGAGCAAACACAGATGATCCCATTATTGAATTAAATGGATCACATGACCATAGAGGAAACACATAAGTAGAAAGTATTGTGACAACTAACAATCACTATTCCTAGTCTATCTTCTATACTATATGGATCTGCATTTCTACTCTATCCTCTATTACTATAGGGACCGTTATTCTCTACTCTATTCCCTATACTATTTCTCTATTTAGATCACTAAACTGGTTACTATTTAAATGAATATTATTGAGCAAGTACTATTAGTGCAAGTGATATTTGAAGGCGTCTAACACCAGTATTGTTCAACAGCGTATTATAGTTGTATCTGTGATTACAAAGTCTCTACTACAACAAGCATTTCAAAAGTAACAAAAGTGGCAACGAGTGTTCGTTGACATCACAAAAAAGGAAACATTCAGCATTTATTGTACTACTGTCAGTTGAAATTTATAAAATCTTTCTTAAAACGATTTTTCAGAAAAATAGATTTGCCACGTGCAGTAGCAGTTACTGCTCTTTCTATTATTTAATTGGTTTGTTAATTATGGCTTTTCAAGTATTAGCAGGTTATTTAAAGCCAGAAATATTTTCAAATTGGAAGTTTTTTTTCTTAAACAATAATTTACTTATACAAATCCTACTAATTAATCCATAGCTTGGGGGGAGAGAAGAGATGGATTCATAACTTTCCCAAAGGTATTTGCATGTGAGTATAACAAACCCAACTGGAAGTGAAACTTGGCTTTCTGATTTCCAATTCCGAGCCATACATCCAAGCTTAAAGCACCTAATATTCCCAAGGGGTCAACCACCTCGATACTGACCAAACTCAACGTCACTTAACTTCAGTGATTGTATGAGAACTGGTGTTTTAACATGACATGGCTGTAAGCCTCTTTCCATTATTAATAGGGTGAGGGAGGGCTTCCTACCTAACTTTTTGTTTGAAGTAGTGCGGAATGTCAACATATTGATTATGTCATTGTTTTCTCTATGAGTTACTTTCAAAGCTCACCTATTAAAATGTTAAACATATATGACAGTGTTCTTTTCCATTTTTTGAAAAAAAGTCTGAAAAATCCTCTTTCGGAATCACCATCAGCTACTTTGATCTCATCCAAGAAATTTCAACATTGAATTTAGCTTTGGAAAAATTTGAACTCACAGGGAGTTAATGTGGACTATGAGGAGGAGGAGGAGGCTGATAGACCTGGGTGATGTGATGTTTTGCAAAACATATTCATTATCAATTCAAGATACACAGTACACAAGCTTACAAAATAGTGATTAACTGCTGATTAATCCTACAGGAGAGTGTCTACTCATACATGCACAGTAAGGTTCCTTCTTATTGGTTGCCAAATTACATAAAGACCACACAATCAGTTTGTGGGATATTTTAAAAGGCTGGATACTTTCCAGACATGCATCATACACAAATATTCATCACTGATGTCAAATAAGCAACAACTTCAGCCACCAAGCAGATTTATAGTGAGAATTTAATAGACACAAGAAATGTTTTGCTTTCTATGTAGATCTGTGCCATAAGATTTTTTGAACAACCACAAGTGTCATCTGGAGAATTTGGTAATGAATTTTAAAATAAAATCATTCCTTATACAAAGTTTGAATTCACTTCATAGTCACTGTCTCTTTCATCATTCTAAGCCGTCAGTCCCATAACCAGTCATCCTGATTATAATTTGGCATTTCACAGTGACAGAAAAAAATTAGTAAGGAAACTGAGGATATGAGCAAATCCAAATCACTTGCCTACACAAAATTAATGACGTATCCATTGTTAGTCATGAAGGTTTCCCTTGAGCACTTCAACATCCTGTAATTGTTAGCAAACTTGTCTCTTTGTCATCATGTAATGGTTAGCCAGTTTGTCTCGCTAAATCAATTACAACTCAATAGTGAGTTCGATCTTCACTGCGTACCCCCATGTGTTTTGCCTTGTGCCACATTTAAGCTATACTTTGGAAATCACAATAAGTTCCCCTAACAAAATGCATATAATACCTATTGCTTACCTTCATGTCACCTCCTTTTTTCATCAAAAGATCTTCATCTTCATCAGAGGATGGAGCAGCTTCCATGAATCTGCAATAAGTGTTAAACAATAAACTGTATAGAGGTGGTTTATAATTTGAAAGAAAAAATCATTAGCATTCCTTCCAAATCTTGTTCAGATTATATAGAGTAAGCATACTCTCTCACTATATATATATATATATATATATATATATATATATATATATATATATATATATACACACACACACACACACACACACCTCTAGTATGTGTAAAATTTTAGATATAACTAAAAATTAAAAGAAAATTGTTAAATTCATAACCTCCTTTTATTTTAAATATATAATACATAAATGAATCCCAAACTAAAATAATATAAATATTAATTACATGATTAAAAAAAATTCACTTTTGGTTATCAGACATTAACTTACATCAATTAGCATCCTCCATAATTTGCAGGCTTTTCAGTTAACTTGATGAATATTTATATCTCTTCTTAAATTTAAAAATCAACATTTTTACTTTATAAATACTTGTTTCAAAATAAAATCTTTACATTTGTCTTTATTTAAGAACATCATAAGACTAAATGTGTCAGCTAAGACATGTTTTCCTTTTGTCTCTCTCTCTCTCTCTCTATATATATATATATATATATATATATATATATATATATATATATATATGTGGTGCAATGGATAAATTGTCATGTAAATTACACAAAAAATGAAATTAATACTGACATCACATTTTAACAGATATATTTACCAAAATTACACAAAAATATCTTGAAATACGAAAGAGTAAACTTATTTAGTAAAATCGCCATTAGTTTCAACCATGATCTCCAGATGACTTTGAAATCTCCGACAACTCTTTTGGACAGTCTCCTTGTTTAAGTTGGTGAATGCTGCCATAATCTTTGCCTTCAGTTCATCTTTGGTGTTACAAGAAGTTTTGTTGGTCTTTCACTCAACTGTGCCTACACATGATAATTAAGGTGGTTGCAGTCTAGTGTGGCATGGTGCAGAGTCCTGTTGATGTAGGCCTCTGTGTTGTCTCTGCCTTGTAGGAAGATAAATGGAGGCCTAACATCACCATCACTAATGATCACTCCAAACACCATGATGTTGACTGGATATATCACCCAAGTTTTTCTGAATCCTCTGCACTGTCCTCAGATTGACACCCAAACACTCTGAAATGTTTGTATTGAAGCTCTCGGTGTGAATGCTAAGCAGTACAGTATGCTGTTTCAAAGTTTCTGGTGAAGTGAATTGCATCACAGTGCTTTTTTTTCCCTAGATGGTGCTCAAATGACCCTACTATGCTGTGCAGTCAACAGAACCAAAAACAATGCATATGCAAGAAATTAAAAATATAAAATGTCAACTATTTACCCATCAAACCATATATATATTTTATAATTATTTTTTTAAAAATATGATTCCTTCGCTACACAAGAGTTCTCATGTTTCAAAAACGAGAGCCAGAACCCCCAATATAATTATTCAAATTAAATTGAATTAAAGCATCAAGCCCTGTTTCATCCTCAATCAAAAATTTAGGAATAACCAATCTTGAAATTTATGCTTCCTGGAAAAACACACATGCCAAAACAGTATTAATAAAAATCCTGAACTAAAAATAGACAAAAATAATGAAAAAACCCTGAAGAAACCATTGGAAAATAAATGCCACACAAAATCTGAGGTATACCAATGCACTATCTCATCAATTGAGAGTCCTAATACTGATTGGTTCAACGAAGAATGAATTTAAAATTAGATGGAGACAACACAAAAGCTCCTTCAGTAATATTAGAAATAGAAACCAGACATCTCTATCCAAATATTTTTGGCATTTAAAAGAAATGAATACAACACCAAAAGTAAAAGGGAAAATAATAAATAGAACAAGAACTTGTAAAACCTGGGATGACCCATGCCTTTTATGCCTATATGAAAAACTACACATTATTAAGTTTATAAATAATGAAAATTTATTAAACCATAGACATGAGTTAACAGTTTTTTGCCGACATCAACAAATTTTTGCATTAAATAATTAGCTTAAAAAAATAAATTAAATTTCATAGTCTACTAAAAGGCTTAAAAGCTTAACCCAATCATAAGATAGAAAAACCCTTTATGAAGTCGCCAAAAAAACAAATTGTAGTTCAGTGCGACACGTTTATGTACAAAACAGCCCTTTAGGAAAAATAAATAAATAAATAGATAAAATAAAATAAAACAAAATTCTCTAGACACTTAATGACATATTATGGTGCCAAAAGCTATCTTTCGCTGTGACTGACCAGACGATGTGCATACATGAATGCCATCATTCGCTTTGAAATGGAAACCCCGAACCTACCTCGGCTTGAACTCTTTCCGAAGGTGACTGATATGTGGATAAAAATTAACTCTTAGGCCCCTTATCAAAATGGTCGCCCCAGCCATTTCCATGGTAATTAATTTTGCGAATGAACATGCTTATAAGGATGCGTAAATTTCAAGATTGTTTATTCCTAAATTTTCGCTTGAGGATGAAACAGGGCTTGATACTTTAATTCAATTTAATTTTAATAATTATATTGAGGGTTCTGGCTCTCGTTTTTGAAACATGAGAACTTTTGTGTAGTGAAGGAATCATATTTTTTTTTTAAAATAATTATAATTTAAGCTCTACTTCTGTATGGAGCACTGTTTTTTAAAAATAAAACCAAAAATACTAAAGAACTCCAGATTATTTACCTAACGTGTTCTTTCCTAATTTTCTACATATCTGCACACACACACATATTATATATATATATATATATATATATATAATGAAAAATACCTACTTCAGACATTTACACTTAAGTTTCACCCTGCCATATACACAGGGGCAAGCAATCCTCATCTCCTTCATATTCCATTTGTAAGGGAGAAGTTCTTTTTCGACAGCTTCTTTCCAAGAGCAGCTGCCTTGTGAACTCCCAAGCTGGTACTTCTCTGAATAACACAATAATTTTAACCTATTCATATCTAGGGTCAACTGTTACAAACTATGATAAAAGTGGATGTACACTGAGGTAAGCACTCAGCATCAACAGTCTGTTTCATGCCTAAATGCAATCTCCAGGTACTGTATGTTGTGCTTATATTTATATATGCTGGTCAATGGTGTATTATGGGTAATAAGGTTTATTAACCAAATGGTTATTGGTTGGGTAGTAATGTTTATATCCCAAATTATTCTAGAGGCTATTCAGTAGAAATAATTGTATATAAGAACATGTTTCTTAACTCTTTACACATTATTGATTACTTTATTATTAGTTGTTGATTATTATTACATTTACTTATGTTTATATGTGCATTTGTAGTTTGGTAATTTGTTCATTATTTACTTAATTTGTTTACGTAATGACCGAGTTATATTTCCTGTTTATTTTATTTTACTTATTTTATTTTTATATTCGTTTTTAGTTTTCGATTTTTAAGTAATGTAATAAAAATTTGTTTTCATGTCTTCATTATTTAGTAATTTGTGTTGAGATGATTAATTGGAAATATCAGAACTTTTTGGGGTATCAGAATCAGCATTGAAATCGGAGAATTTTTAACCTAATTTCCAATTCCAAAAGAATTTCTCTGTATTTTTCTTTGTTTAAAACTTAATTTTCCATTCCTAGTACTAGTGATAAAAACATATAAATATTTATTGATTTTAAAATATCAGTAAAACTAAAATCTGTAGATCATAATAACACCTAAATATAATGTAAATTTATTTTGTGTAAAAAAAAAAAAAAATGGAATGTGCTAGTTTCTACTTAGTTTTCAAACTTTTCATAAAGTTCACTAGTTTAAAGTCTGTTCAAAATGAATTTTTTTTAATTTCTTTTTAAACATTGTTAATTCAACCATTTAATGTTATAAATTATTAATTTAATAATTATAATCAAAATTATGTAATATAAACACAAAATGAACTCATGTTGTTGTTCTGCCTTCTGTCGGGCACTCTTTTAAGACAATTTTTATTAGTTTTTTTTTTTAATTTGTAAAAAAGAAAAAATGTGTTGTCTGCATCTAAAAACCTAGAAAAAAAAACTTAGAATCTTTATTTCAAAGTTTGAATTTTCAATTATTCTTTAGAAATTAAAAATAAAACTCCATATAAGGAGTTTCTATCAGCACTTAATCCAAAGGATATTATAAGGGTGGGAGTAGGCATTTATATTTCCTTTGGTAGGAATTACATAAAATAGGGAGTTACTTTTCAATCACTCTGTCTATTGCATTAAAAAATATAGTGTTGATAATGTTTTTCAGTGGTGGAATTCAAATAAAAATGAATTTCCTATCATGGCACATTTAACCAGGAAATATCTATCAGCACCTCCCTCTTCTGTTGAAAGTGAACAGTTATTTAGTATTGGAGGTAACATTTACTTACCAAAAAGAAATCATCTGAAAGGCCAAACAGGAGAGATGATAATGTTCTTACATAATAATTTAAGAATTTTAGGACTTATATGAGTATCTAGATACTTAAGTAATTTACTTAAAGAAATTGTTCTCTTTATTGTTTAAACTATTACCCACCTTTTTAAATAAAAAGGATATTTAATTTTATTTCAGGCTTGTATATCCATTTTTCTACTAAATGTTATATTATTAAATGTACTTAGTTCCTTAAGTTTCCCAAACCAACTGAAGGGCCTGAAAATAATGAATTTTAATCATTGTAAGTATCAGAATCAGAAATTTAGAACAGTATCGGGAACTATATCAGAATTGGTAAAAATATTGGTATTACAAGTAATTCAGACAGAGTTTACAGTTTTTGGATTTATTGATGAAGACTGATGCTGTATTCCTTATTTTTCATGATATTTTTGGTATAATTTGATGTTTATTTTAAATTTCTCATATATTTATAGAAAGTATTGTGTTGTTTGTGTATTTTCTATTTGTAAAGGATGTTTTGTGTGCATAGTTTCTCTGTTTTCAGGGCCCTTCACTTACTCCTATGTATATTATTTCTTTGTTGCCTAATAATTTTACAGTGGCTTGGTATATTATAATGTTTTGCAAGTAATTGCCGTTTAAGGGACATTCATTCTTTGTTCTGGTGTTTTATTGGTTATTTTTCTGTTGTGATTTTTATTATTTGTATCATGTTCTCAGGGCAACTGTAGCTGATTTTTATTGTGTTTTTGTTGAATATCTTATGGAGAGTGCTTGATAGGAGAGGAGTGTTTGTGTAGGAGTTTATTGAATATTTTTCTACATTTGTTTTATGTTTTTGTTGTACAGTAGGGTTGGAACCATGTTTTATTTTGGTTTACTGAAGGTTGAACCATAAACAGAGAGTAAGAAAATTGAAAAAGCGGCATGTATTATTCTGCAGGAAAAATACATATGTCAGGCAAGTAAGGATATTAGTGAGGCTTTCTTTATTCAGCAGATAGGAAATTGGAGATTATCCAGAGTAAAATTATGGAATTACTTGGACTAATCAGATTCTCAAAAAAAGTTTAGTATGTGATTTATGCCAGTAAATACCAGAGGTCTGAATTGAATTTAATGTCAATAGGAAATATTTGCTCTAAGAAGAGTTGACCCCAATATGTGCTGGGTTCACCCTAAGAGATACCAAAGTAAGTTTTGTACTCAGTGTCACCTCAGAATTCAAGGGTTGACCTAGAAGGTGACATCAAAGCCTCCAAGTGCAAAATTGAGTCACAAAGGATGTCAATGTGGGCACCAATACAAACAAGGAAGTGAGTCCAACTGAACTTTCGATATACATACACAAGACAACCAGATAACAGAAAGATATATGGATGCCCAACCTGAGGGGAGAAACAATCCTTTACATTCTTGCAAGAACACTGAACAGTTAAAGAAAGATACAAAACCTCAAATTGGTCCACATTAGTTACACTGAGTTCAGAAGTGAATAACTAGGATCAAACTGTAGTATCTGTGCACTGTGAAAATACAATTTAGATTTCATGAGTGGATTTATCTTTATCTCTTGTTTTCATAAGAAAGTTTCAGCCAACAGATTCTTTAGTCTTCCTGAAGAGTATATTGTCTCATTATTGTTTTGACATCTTGAAATCATATAATCAGACCAAAAATGGAGCATTGCTACCATAATTAGGCTAGAGCTGCTGAAACCTGTCTTTCCAGCTTTGACAGAGTTCAAAAATGTTTACGCAGCCTAGTAGGCAATTATTTTCCACCTTACAACCCTCTCTCTCACAGATACAATGTTGCCTCTTGCTACTCTATAGCTTTTTCCATAGAAAAATTTCTGAAGATCTACATTCCCTAGTTCTACCAGTTCAGATGTTTGCAGCTAAGACCTGTCATCTCATACACACAGAGGCAAACCATCCACATTCCTTTCATATTCCATTCATAAGAAGGAAGTTCTATTTGAACAGCTTCTAAAGAGCTGCTGCTTTGTGGCTCAGACTCCCAAGAAGATACTTCTCTGAACTCTACAATCTTAACATCTTCAAGTCTAGGGTCAACCATTACATGTTCTACATATCCTTATAATTTGCATTTTCTTCCTCCTCTTATATTCACACAACTACCTCATTTAGTAACCCTCTACTTTGAGTGACACTTGAGTCTAGTACTGAGTGAACATTTACTAAAAAAATATATGCAATAGTAGATGAATGATTTTGTGTACCAATTAACAATTTAAGGTAACTCTCAAAGAAAAATGTTTGCCTACTTTTTCTTGAGTTCATTCTGTTCTTCATAGTAACTAGGACCCATACGAGGATTTACTTCTTCATCATCTTCGTATCTTATTTTTTCATCTGGAGGTGGAGCTCTGAAATTACACAAAGAAATAAGATATAACAAAAAGATATAGATGAAACAATATTAACAGTATAATGGTCATGGCCCAGATGTGCACATGTGTGACAAGATGTCTTGTAATTGAGAACAAATTATAAAGTAAAATAAAGATATTCAATAAAAACCAAAAAAGAAAAATCAGTATATTCTTCTTTTTTTTTTTGTATTTATATTTGAACTACTGTCTTCATCTTTGTTGTTATTTTCACACTTCGGTCATTATGCATTTCAGGGTTTTTTTTTCGAGTGTTTATCAATCTGGGTAAGCTTCAGGGAATTTCAAATTGAAACCTTAAGGTTACCTGGATCAACAGACACCTGAAGAAGGTCAGAATCCACAACAGCCAAAATGTTGTGATAATAACAACAAAGATGAGGATGAGGACAATAGTAAATAATGATGAATCATCCTAGAAATTTAGACAGAAATCCTTTTTTTTAAAATTTGTACATATGATCAACTTAGAAAAAAAGGGTTATTCAATAAATCTGCCCTTTGCCACAAAGACAGCCTTGATAAAACTTCAGAAGAAACTGTATGCCCAGATCAGGCAGTTGTCATTCATAGCAGCCTTGGTATTGTATGCTACTGGTTAGTGTCCGTCAATGATGTGCCAGATAAATGTTAAATGTAATATGACCATGAAAATTCTTGGCCAACTAGTCACCCTTTGGCCATATAGGACATGTGAGATGGAGTAGAGTCCTGTTGGAAAATGTACAGCCTCATCTAGGGCAGTGCTTAATCCAGCACCTTGATGTAGACCAGGGTTTCCCAATCCAAGCAATATCACCCTCCAGTGAGTGATTTCAAATGTTGATGAGAAATTGAACAGAAAATGGTGAGTGCTACAAAATTTGTGGTAATATAGGATATTGAGTAATAAAAAGGTATTTCAAAATATGCTACCTGAAACAAATATTCAAAGGAGATATGCAAAGAACTTGTATAAAACAAAAAAATCAGGAGGCTAAATGGGAATAATTGGGTCTCATTCCTAGATAAGATATAAATATCACCATAAACAATGAATAGTTTGGTATTTCCTATTGTTTTGAGAAGGGTTTTTAACATTCACATAGTTCTTCAGATGAAATAACATTTTTTTTATTGGATATAAATCAGATAAGGGAAGATCAAGAATAACAAAAAATATTTGTTTAATTTTTTATTAGTTGCTAGTAGTGCATATTCTTTTTAATCTTATAATTATGAACAAAAATTGTTTAATTTTTGTCAACACTTGCAATGCTAACTATGAAATTAAATTTTATATATATATATATATATATATATATATATATATATATATATATATATATATATATAGTTTTCAATGGTCAAGTTTGTTTTCATTTGTTCTTTAATATGATAGCAGCATTTGCATAAGTCAGCATTATTTGTTACCTCCCTTTGGTATTTTTTACTACATCATAAAGCCAGTAACAAACTTTCACCAAATTGCTTTTGAATATTTACTATACAACAGGTGGTGGATAATTTTTCCATGTGAAAGTGGGCAATGACACAAAAATGTTTGGGAAGCCTTGATGTAGATAGGGACATAGACCCTGAGGCCTTGCAAGAAGCCGAGCAGCAAGGCCCTTGTTTCTCATAACCCTCAATACCATCACAAAGGACACAAACTTTATGTTTATCATTGTGCACAAAGGTACTTATCATTCCTCTTGTTCACCTTCTAGTCTGGGCTTTAAATGGATCATAGTTTTCTTGTGTGTCTTGTTAGATAATAAACTGACCTCTTTCCATTACATGGTACTTCTACCTGATGTCTTTATGCAATACATGTCTAATAGAAGGTCTCTACCACGAAGAGCTACTCAGTGATGACTTGCTGGGGTTAAGGTTGATAATGTTCTAGATCTACCAAACAATCTCCACATTCCTTACAATCTGACCACTTACAATGTTTTTCTTGGCTACAGATAATAGGTCCTCAACTAGAAACCTTCAACTTATGTAGGACAGACCTGGCCACTTTTAAGAACCTCGCTATCTCTGAGTCACTGTAGTTGGTGGTAGTGACACAAGTGTAACATGCATTTATATTTACTGTATCAGATTGGAAGCTACCATGTTACTGCTACCAATAAATTTGAAAGAGAAATGGGAATGCTAAAATTTGACACATATCACTTAATATTATTTTTGGTTTGGTTTATGTCTTTCAAAAAGTGTGTTCTTAAATGAAAGAAAATGAGCAACATTTTTAGCTTATGATGCAATTTGATTTAAAAAATGGCAAAAATACAAGCCAAACACAAAAGAAGATTTCTACAATTTGTATAGAAGGTACCATAAATGGTACAGAGATGTGTGGGTAGTGTAATAGATAGCACAGAAAATGGAACTAGCAAGCTGATTTCAAATTCAGGCCTAGTCAATTGCATTCACTTTCACACCAATTATCTTGGGAGGAAATGCATGAATCTATTTTTTTTTTCTCTGATAGAGAGTTATGGGTTAAATAGCAGGGTAGACTGGGATCCCTAACCTTGGTTTGTAACTAGTCTAAGGAAAATTCTGAATTCCATTCTGTGGAAAAGGCAACATTAAATCCCTCCATTATCCTTCCCAAGAATACAAAGTAATTTACAGATAATAAAGAAAAAAGAGTCTGTTAAGAGCTATGATTGCTTATAGACTGAAGGGATATGACATTTTAAATAAATACTCTGGATTCTCTAGTCTTGGCTGACAGCTAGTCTAGAAAGAGAAGGAGAACTAAGAATTCAAAACTATGAAGAAGGTAGAAAGAAACCACTCAATCTTTCTCAAGAAGTCATGGCAATTCATAGATAATAAAGAAAAAGGAGTCTGTGAACAGCAATGATATGAAGAGTCATGACATTTTAAATAAAAAAGAATAAAACCTTGCTCCCAATCACACCAACTGAAACACCTGCAATTAGTTAAGAGGAAAGAGATTCCCTTGATATAACTCTTTGACAGAATGTTGCTTTGTTGACCAGACTAAAGCTGTTATGTCTTTATTAAAAAAAAAAATGTTTTCACTCCTCTGTTGTTTTCCCAAGATTTTTCACTGAGAAATTAGCAGTTATTTCAGTCTTGTTAATTGTTAATTCCCTGAAAGGCTACAAAAAAGAGAAAACATTCTGAGAGATCTGGATTAAGAAGTTGCCTGCAAGATGGCAAAAGATAGTAGAACTGTAATGGCAAATACACTGATCAATAAAATTAAAGTAAAAAATGTGTTTTCTTTCAACTTAATAAACTAAACAATTTGTTTTGGCTAACCAAAAACATATGTTACTCTTTAGTATCAAATCAATGTTAATTGTTATCTACTAGAAAAGGAATCAAGAAGACCCTGATTCATCTTCTTTGTTTATGCTCCTTAATAATGTTTCTCTTTCACACTGCTTTGCTTGGGGAGAAATAATAAAAAAAATACAAGTAGTGTCTGGAATAGTCATGCCAGTGGGAATTTTTGAAATTATAAAATAAATGTGATGGTTCAATTAAACATTCTGCCAGGAATTTTCATATAAGTTTAATAAATGTCAGGCCACGGAGAAAATTATTCAAAAACTATTAAAAAATAATAAGCATGCTGTACAAAATGAGCATCCCAAGAGATGGAAAGTTGAAGGAAATAATTTAACACACAATGAACACTCATTTATACATGTATGTGTGTGCCTAACCAGGCAGCAGTAGTTAGAAAGGTAGTCTTGTAGGCAATTACTACTAAACTGAGTTAGATCCTCACTGTATGCCCAGACTTGTGTCCTTGTGCCATACTAATACTATATATGCATATTTTCTCCATGTACATAAGTATCATCTGTAAAATCATTCATCATTACTAAATGGAATCATGATATCATTTAGAAGAATGCTCTTGTATAGTTAAACTCAATCTACACTACAAGTTGAGTGTAGCTCTTGTGCAGTTAAACTTGATCCATGCTACAAGTTGAGTGTAACTCTTGTAATGTTAAACTTAACTTTTGACTGACTAGACAGATTTTCCCACAGCAGATTGCTGTTTCTTTATGTGGTGGACTGGTTGCCACCCAAGGCTATAGGACCAAGTCCGTCCTGGTATTCAACCCATAGCTTTTAGGAAAAATGGATTTATACTTTTCTCAAGAGCATTTGCATATCAGTGAATGTAATGAACCCAACTGGAATTTGAACTCAGCTCAACAATTTCTCATTCCGATCCCTTATGCCAAAATAATAATAGATTTTATAAGTACAAAAATGTATATGAACAACCATTATAGCTTGTCATAGGTGTCTATTAACAGGTATCTCAATACTCAGCTTACAGCCGATGAAATTCTTAACACTAAAAAAAGGCATATATTCAACTCCCCGTGTTATTTCATTTAATATCTCCATAAAGACATAATGTATACCAAATAAAAGCTTATTTCATGAACTTTGTTTTTATCTTATTTATTTTTATATGTACTACAGTGTGCGATTAACATTACAGTTTGAAAATAGAGACATTTTGGTGATTTCACAAAATTTTGGCCATTTTTTTCGCTGACGGCAGTTTAGACATCCTCAAATTTCGTAACATGCACATTTCACAGGGTTCATTACAATTTTGGTAACACGTTAGTTTGAAAGTTCTAAGCTTCATTTTCATATATTTTATATTTTTTAATTTTAATAAGAAGTTTGTAAACAATTCAAATGAAAAGTTTGATCGTAAAATTCAAATGCTTCTTGTAAAAATAAAAAGACATAAAATATATCATTAAAACGCTCATTTAATAATCTATGAAACTAAATCAAATATGAAATGATAGCTCCATTTTGCGCATGTGCGATTATGTGTAACCATGTGCGACTCGCTCGGCCATCATTTCAACTCCACGTGAGACTCAATACACAGTGTCAACACGGACACAAAAGAATCGACTGGCATGTTTTCTATGGACGAAATTTTCAAGGAAATTGATAAGAATTTGTTTTAAATATTAATTTTCTATATGTAAAATGTAAATGGGATTTAAAAACCGTTTTCATCATAAAAAATATGAAACAAAAATCGATTTGTTTACTTTATGCTCAGATTCAAATCACAAAAAAAAAAAGTAGGACTTATTGATTGAAAAATGTTCATATTCAAAGAATGAGATAAAAAAATTCTACAATGTCTTATGTTTTTGCCATATTCTCACAATAATTATCAGCATTTCAGTTACCAAGTAGCATTTTGTTTAAAGTTACCCCTTCAAAAAATTTTCTTACTTTTTAAATTATCTAATGAATGGATTTTAGTTACGATTTATTGCTATCTAGATACAAATTCATGATTTAATATTCATTTTCCTAATTTATTATTATTTCTTAGTAATATTTATTTCATACAGATTATGATTGTTTATTTTATTCTAAAATATTTTAATGTGTCAGTTTTAAGGACCACTGTGGAAATAGGTTTGTTGAGAAAATATTTTAGTGCTTCCTTATTTGTTACTCAGGTGTATGGATGACTCTAACTTTATATTTATCCCTGATTGTATTTAGTGCAATTTTTCATGAACTGCAAATAAACTCAAATTCAGTAAGAAAACGTAGACAATAATTTGTAGATGACTACTTAGTACTTCAACAAAATGGGATAGAATTATAAATTTATTTTTTTCACATGTTGAGTCAGGATTGTACTTGTTCAGCATCTGCTCCATATACATTCTAATCTGTTGATTTTAAGTCTTTTTAACCATGATAAATGGAAAGAGCACCCCCAGAAATGGCTAGATATGAAATTTGGTGTTTCTAGTGTAAGAAGTATTCAATTTATGATACAATTTAAGCAAGTCTAAAATCGGCCTTTCAAATACCCTGTGACAAAAAATTAAAAAGCAATTTTTTTTCAATTTTGAAGTGGAATAATCCAGAATATATACATTCTATCCCCCCAAAAAATTAGGCAAGTTACTGGTTTAGTCATAATGTGATATTTGAAATTTGGGATGAATGTGGGTCTTATTTCCAGTTTTATGAAATGTCAAATCTCAGGTTATGAGTTGTTTGCACGTCGTTGCAGAAGTTTTGATTTATAAAATTTGCATATTCAGACTGAATTTATTTAAGAAATATGCAGTGATACTATCTGTAATTTTATTATTAATTTCTTTGTTATGCACCTAACAAGCTAGTATAATTTTAACTGTTGTTCTTAATTGCTTTTTAAAATATAGGAGTCCAAATATGGTATTTTGCCCTAATTCATAATAGACAAAAAAATGGATAAGTCGAGCACATGTGTAAAAATAAAAAGAAATCTGCCAAAATTAAACGGTTTGATGAAATAAAAACTGCTAAGTTTCTTTAATCATGTAGATTAAGAAGATGCAATCAGATAACACCTAGTACCTGTTTGAAATTTTCATGTGATACCTACTATTAATAATTGTCCTGGAAAACAAAAAATATCCTATAAGTACATACATTAAAAAGTCTATAGTCCATGAAAAAAAATATTTTAAACAGATATGTTTCAATATATTTCATTTTGTCAATTCAGTCACATTGACATTAATCACATTGATCAGGCATTATACAATGAAAATTTCAAATCAAAATTATTATAATAATAATAATAAAAATAATAATAATAATTATTATTATGTGTTAAGCTATGGATTTAATGATTCACCTTCATAGTTTGGAATGGAATCAGGAAACACAAAATGCTAACATGATTACAATATGTTGATGAAATAAATACCAACCCTTTTGTTTCAATTAATGTCTTCCTCTGGACATCTTGTAAATAAACTGGTTTCTTCTTTTTCTTTTCTGATGACTTTATTTCAGTTTCTTCATCTGAAAGAAAAAAATGGTGAATGGAAAATATATTATTCTTTTTAAAAACAAAATGTTTTAATTATCACTTATTGGTGACTGATAAAGTTGAAAATTGTCTCCATAATATAAAAAAAATGGAAAATATATCATCAGTATTTTGAAAACCAACCTAGATTGTTTATTTAGTAACTTAATAAGTCAAATATATATTTTCATGATAAAATTGTTTCTAGAATATAAAAAATAGAGAATATATATTAGCATTTTAAAAACTAAAATTATTTATTTATACAGGCAGTTCAACTAGCTTGGTCTCATTTACATTCCTTCTCAATATGTGTATTTCTTATTGTTGGTTATAACTTGGAATTCAATAGCAATATTAGTGCAAGTCAATGTGACAGTGTCAATACAAGACATTTGAAGTACATGCCTTTCTGTACATGCAAATTCTATGTAATAGCCTCATTTGTCAGATTTTTTTTTATTTTGAAGCCAACCATGTGTAACCCCCTTCAGATGTAAACTTCCGATGAGTTTCTAATTGTTTTCCATCAGAAAATAAACAAGGATTGATTTTTATCTTTCCTTTAGTCTTATGGCTATATCATGTTGAAATACTGGTTCTCATACAATCACCAAAGTTAAGCAATGTCAAGCCTGGCCAGTACCTAAATGGGTGACAGCTTGGGAATAGTAGGTGCTGTAAGTGTGAATGTGCAGTTGGTTTAATGGATAACAGAGAGCCAAGTTCCAATTCCATTTAGGTTTGTTATATTCACTTACATGCAAATACAATTGGGAAAGGTATGAATCCAGCTCCTCTTCCTCCAGTTATGGGTTAATTAGTAGGACTTGTACCAGCAAACCATTATTATCACCAAAAATTTCTTACAATCTAAACATATTTCTAGCTTTAAATAACCTGCAGTTGATAAACCATAAAAAACAAATCAATCAATTTCTCTCTTTTTTAAGACATGGATTTTACTATATAAGGGAGCACTGAAAAGTCTTTGACTTGACCCATTTCCCTAAATCTCACTAAAATTACCAAACAACAGCGTGTCCTTTTTTCAAATAGTTTCTTGGTTGAACAGAGATCTTTTCAGCACCTCCTTATGTGCTTTTATATATATATATATATATATATATATATATATATATATATATATATGTGTGTGTGTGTGTGTGTGTGTGTGTGTGTCCTAATCCTATTTGGTGCATATTTTCCACCAATACCATCACAGTTTTCAATTTTCTCTTCAAAACATTTCTTTTTTTTTAAATTTTATGCATGTTCTATAATTATAGAAAGTATGAAAGAAAAAGTAAAAGGGTAAGTAAGAAAGAGAAAAATGAAACGAAATGAAAGTGAAAGAAGAAGGGAAAAGAATGAATGTAAGAAGAGAGAGAGACATATTTACTGTCTTGAGTTTTATTACTCCTTTACACCTTTGAACTTTTAAAGTAGGTGAAGCCTTATTTAATTTTTTTACTTTTTTTCAAGTTTACCCAATACAAGGTAAAAGAACCAGTCATGGTGGATGGTTACTGAATATGATATGAAGTGAAGATTATGAGGATAAGGAAGATAAATGGTGATTGATTCTTCACTTGAAGAGTTTAAGATTGTAGTTTTTGGGGAAGCATCTCCTCAGGAGTTTGTTCCACAAGATAGCAGTTCTCAAGAAAAAGTTGCCTGAGTAGAATATCCTCCTTACAACTAGAAAACAAGGGAAATGTGGGTGACTGGACTTTGTGAACATAGCATAGTAAGTCCTACTTGCAAATGTCTAACTGTTGGAACTGAAGAGTGATGCTCAGAAGTATTGACATAACAAGTTGTGTAGCCAGAAGTGATTGTGACCTCTAAGATTATTTGTTTTCTTGAACTGAAATTTATCTCAAAAATCTTTCTTTATCGAACCATGTTTAACACACTAGTCCACTGACACCCCCAGAATTAAACATATAGGATTAAAAATTATGATGACAAATCAAATTAATGTTAAAAAAAAAATATGTATAAGTATAGATTAATCATTCCAAGATTAACTTTATATATATATATATATATGGAAGTGTGTGTGTAGCCGATGAAAGAAATTAAAGAGGACATCATAATATTGGAAATTATTAGGCCATTTGACCAAATAGAAGCATGATGATAAAAGATGTTAGAAATCAGAATTTCTGGATATGGCTGTCCCCTTTCTCAATGAAAAGTAATATGAAGTTAGACATTTTGTGAGAAATTGTTTTCGTGCATGTGTTATTTTACTAATTAGATCTCAAATTTTTTAGCTAGTTGCCTATCATTATTACACTTACATAATATATATATATATATATATATATATATATATATATATATATATATGAGAGAGAGAGGTAGTAATCCATTGATATATAATCCTATTAACACAATATTAAATATTAAATAATAAAGTTGTTCTTAATAAAGAATATGGCATCAACAATTCACCTAGTATGGATACCCCCAAGTAATTGTAGAAAATTGTTGAGTAAATACCAAATTACTATAGAGCTGGAGCTTTTTAATCTCAGAATTTGTGGGAGAATTGAGCTCCAATTTCATATTTATTCATATAGATTCCATAATATAGGTTTTACTTAATTAATTTTTATGTTTCTCAGCAGGGGTTACTAATTCTAATTTCTGTTTTTCCACCTTTACACTATATTAATTTTATCATATAAACTGTCCTCCTGTTCTGTCACCCATGAAATAAAAATAACTGTTTGTACATAAAATAAGGATCTATGTACATCAAATTGTCATTAAATTAAGTGGCAGCCAATAGGGTGGCTTTTAAGCTAGCTTTAATTTTGGAAAATAATAGTTACTCCCCTTGAACCATGAAAGCAATGATAATGGCTAGTATAATATACTAATATATATTTGTAACCTTGCATTATCTGGCAACCCTGAATCTGACCTCAATGAAAACCGTTCCCTGCACCTAACTTTTTTAGGGCTTTTGAATGAACTAAGAATCATTGAAATCAGACAAGTGGGTTTGGTTTGGTTTGGTTTTATGGCATACCAACCACAATGGGTCATTTAATGCCGACAAAATTTTTATTGTTGGTAATATCTTTTTTTTTAAATCTATTTGTTAATATTTTTCCTTCCAAAAACTATTTCTGGTAATGATTTTCTTTCAAATATGTATCACTGGTAATATTTTTCTTTTTTTTCAAAAAAGGTTTAGCTGGTAATATATATTTTTCTTTTTTTTTTCAAAAATATATTGCTTATTTTTCCAAAAACGTATAGCTGGTAATATTTTTTTTTTTTTTTTTTTAAAAAAACATATAGCTGGCAATATTATTTTTTCAAAAACGTATAGCTGGTAATATTATTTTTCCAAAAATGTATAACTGGTAATATTATTTTTTCAAAAACATATAGCCGGTAATATCATTTTTTCAAAAACAGTCTTTCTGTTGGACATAGTTTATCATCAGACCCAGGACACAGATGTAGTTTATCGTCATACCCAGGACGTTCAGACCAGTGGGAATAGAGGAGTTGCTTGGACACACAAACGCACATACACTGTACTTTATATATAAGATTAATATGTTTGATTTTTAAAAAAATTTTTAAACACAGTAAACTCAACAATGATCACAATTTGAATTTGGAAAATAAAAACATTTAACAATATTCAAACTTATCAATTATATGTTTCAAATTACTTAATTATATATTCATTTTATATGGACCCACAGCAAATATCAAACCTATTTTATACAAAAATTATTACTATATTTAATTATCTATATTTATAATTTTATAAATGAATTTATGAAAAGACGCCATATAGTAAAATAAACACAGTAAATACCAACGTGTTTATATTTATTGTAATATAAATGTACAGCTTAATTACTTTAAATAATTTTAATTTAAATTATTTATTTTATATGCACATACTGCTTATTTTTATTTATTTTTACTCTATTTGCACAAGCTAATAATGAAATTCAAATTCATTCTATGTTAAACATATGACAATCCTTCAATTTTGAAAGGCTACATTTTATTCTGTTATTATTCCATTCCACCTGTGAGTGTATGTATATATATATATTTATATATATATATATATATATATATATATATCAAAAAACATTTTCTAAGACAATTGGTGAGTTTCATAGAACTAGTGAGCGTTGCAACTCACTAACTGATTCTACCCACTCTGATGATGACTAAAGAAAGTCGAAAGCTTGAACCATATCTCTTGTACATTTCTTCCAAAACAAACTTCGGACAATTTCTAATGGAATTTCCTCCTTGCCTAGGGAGGATTATTCATAATTTAGAAAAGTAGATCATTAAAATTAATCGACACAAAATGTCTGATTCCTACCAGATGCGTATCAGAATATCATAATCCACTGAGTTGATCATTGTTATTTGATATTTAAGGTCATCAAGATTAGTGGGTAGCAGCAGAACATAAATGCAGTCTTTTACATATCCTCACAAGAAAAAGAAAAAAATCACACATGGTGATGTCTGTGGATCTCACCATCCAAGCAGAAAGAGCAAGGTTTCAAATGTAGATGTCTTCTTCGCACATGCCAGATAGTGAATTGAGAGATTGCAAGTGCATGGCTAGCTCAATTTGTGGACTCCTGTGGACTTCTCTCAAACACAGCACAAATTCTCTCCACTTGTTCCTCCAAAACTTGTGGTCATCCTAGACTATTTCCTTTACAGATACCCACTCTCTTGAAACTGTTTAAACCACTGTTGAATGTTCTTAGGAGAAGGTGGATTAATGTCAAATTGCCTTCGAAAACCACGCTGCACTGCCATGACAACCATATTTGTTTTCAAGAATACAGAACGCCTTTTGCTGAGGACTTGCCATTCCATGAGTAAACAAAAAACTGAACGTTATCAAAGATATGACACGACTACAGCATCCCTGGGTCAGCCATTCTAAACTTAGAAAACTCCTCTTTCAAATGGTCACCAACACATTCCATGACAATGCTTGAGAACTGAAGCAATGTGTCATGAAATCAATTCATTCTTTTTGAATAACCCTGTAGCATTTGCTTTAAAGAACATTTACATCCTATAAACACAAAAAAAAAAAAAAAAAAAAAAAGATAGAAAGTTGCTAAGAAATCAATTTTGTTATTGCATTTTTATTTCTGCTCTATTATATAAGTGGTATCAATTGAAGTTATAGTTTGTATAATCAATATACAGTGATATTATATATCAACTGAATTTATACTAGACAAGGTACATAAAATGTAGCTGCCCAACATATTTTAACTGAAGACAGAATTATTCCAAAAAATATCTGAGACATTTTGAAAAATTAAATAATCAAAGTTCATATGATACATGCTGGCAACTATTCTATGTGGATGTGTCAAAGCATGTCTGATATGTAGATAGATATGACCAGACTGAGACAAAATGAGAGAGAGAGAGAGAGATAATTGCTCATAGTCAGGTTTGTTTATAAATTTTATGAATTGTAAAACATTTCTTTCTTACCTTTTAGAGGAACAATCTTTGGTTCCTAAGATCGATTATAAACTTGTTTTTACCTCTACTCCAATATTTATTATCATGTTCGCAAGGTTAGCATCAGTTTATAGATTTTCAGAGCACAATGGGAGGCTACTGTATTGTGCCAGCCCACCAGTTGCTGTATACTGCCATTTCTAATAAAAAGGCTTCAAGCATTACTGATCCTGAGTGTTTGAAATGGAATGTAAAATCAGACAACAGACCTGACATATCAAACAGAGACGATCAGTGAGGAAAATTATGGTGTCAACTAAAAAATATGCAGAGGAATACGTGAGTATTTGACAGTTAGTGGAGGCGGGACTTCTTTTCTTTTTTTTTTTTAAGTAAAACAGAACTTAAAAGAGGAACAATGTTAAATAAAAATGGTAATCCCCACAAACAAATTTATTCTCATAGATACGTCATTAATAATAGGTAAGACTAAGAAAATTGAGCAGGAAGGTAGACAAAAAAAGAAAAAGAAATCCAACAGTCACGAATAACAAAGATGTTCTTGGAAGAGCTACTGTTTAATTAATACCATTTGAAGTTGACACAAAGCTGGCATGAGGTGTGGGTGGGGCTTAGATGTCACAATAGCCATGCCACTGAGATGAGTCTACTGAAGAAACATGAAGACAATACAAGGGAGGTAAGCGGTAACTTTCCACTGCAAAAAAGCATCTTTTGATTAACCTACAAATTTACAAGTTTATAATTCAATTTCCTACTCCTAATTCCTTGAAAAGTAAGTATTTATTTATTCACAGTATATTTAAGAAATTCATTATTACATCAGTAGAATTTACTAAATAAATATGTCTAAAATTTTATTTACTCTAGCAAAAACAAAAAGTTCACAGAAAGTAAAGAAATAAAAAAAAAATTCCATTAAAAATAATAAATATATGATTTCTAAAGTATATCATTAAGTAACAGTCAACTTTTGGTGAGTGTTAGTGTAAGAAAGTAAAATTTATTCACAAAACTACAAAGGAATGAGAATCACTATATTAACTCGAAAAAAGCAGAATTGAAAATTAAACAATAAAATTTGCCTAAAATTTGTTTAAACAATTTTCAGTACTCAATTTATGTGTTGTCTATTCAAATACAGAATGAATGAGATTGATTAATTGATTTTTTTACAGCTTATCAACCCTTGGTGGGTTTACAGTATCTGGTGTTCTGAAGCAGTCACCCATCTAAGTACTAACTGGGCTTGACACTGCTTAACTATGGTGATCAAACAAGAACTGGTGTATTTAGCATGATTTGACCATAAGAAATAAAAGAGAATTTCAGTGATCAGAAAATACTGGAAATACTACTTATAGAATATGTATGATGTACATGCATAGCTTATAGAAATTATTGCTATTATACTAGAGAATAGTGTTGAAAATCAGGAAGAAGGACATTGTGAGTTGTCAGGATTTAATGCAATCATTACTAACAGAACAGGATAATTTTATGTATTATATAAATGCATTGCTATTGATTTCAAGAAATTCATTATAAATCAAGAAAAAGGGAGTGTCAGTGTTCAGGAATTAAATATTACTTACAGAATAATATGCACAATGTAAATATATCTCTATGAGGTTTGTACTATAAAAATGGATTGAAAATAAAGAAAATGTTTGGCCGTGGTTAGAAATTTTAATTTTTTTTAACATCTTTTTATTATTCAAGACACACACACATTGATTATATATATAAAATCAATCTGTAAAATGTGACATTGAAGTTTGCTACAACTTTTACACATTATGGAAGAACTTCTTAATTACATTATTGCAATTGTTGCCTTGCCAAAACCAATGTATTTTTCTCTGATCATGGTTTTTGACTGTAACATTTCCAAGAAAAAAAAGTTACTGAAAAGCAAAGACAGAAACAATAAGCATTACCCAATTCATAAGTTTAACAATAGAATTTCATAAATATTAAAAGAGACTCTAAAACATACTTATCAATAATCTTCAGTAAAATATTGTTGATAATTTCTGTTTAAATTTCTGGAATGAGGAGTTATCATTACTTACATTCAAACTCTGAATGTAAATAAGTGTTGTTGATTTTGTTCATAGTTCAACATTTATCTTTAGAGCAATTTTAAGTTTATGTTTATTTTTTTGTTGTTGTTTTTTTTAATGTCATGTACCCTCGGAATATAGGAAATTATGACTCTCTACAGATTCCTTTTTCTTTGTGATCTGCAAATTGTCATGAATTATTGGAAGATAGTAGTGATTTCTCACTGCCTTCTCCTTAGTTTGGGATTCTGTGTTCTGTTTCTGTTAGATTGGCTACCACCCAAAGTGAGAGAGCTCAGTCTACCTTGCTTATAGCTGGATGGAGAAGAAATAGATTCATGCTTTTCCCAAGATTATTAGTGTGAAAGTCAATGTAGCAGTTTAGTCTGCAATTTGAACTCTGCTCACCAATTACACAATCCATACCAATAACCATTATGTGATCCACACATCAAGTAAACATTCTTCATTTATAATGAAAACAAAAAGAAAAGAAATAAAATGTCTAGTCTTATAATGTGCATGGTGTTTTTTTTTTAGGGGGGGGGGTATTTCCCATCACAAAAAAAAAATAAACAGAATCTGAATGTGAAATGTGAACTAGACATAATGTCACATGTTGACACTATTTTGAATCAGTCTGCTACATGGCATGGTTCTAGATTGAATGATTTGTTCCCTTCAGGGTTTGTTTTTTTTGTCATTTGCAAGCAGAGTAGAGTCATTTTTGCAATAGCTGAAGATACAAAAAAAATTAGTAGTATTAATGAAAAAAAAAAAAATTTCTAAAGAGCACTGGTTACAACATAGAATGGAAAAAAATATTGACCAAAATGGATTGAAAGAACAAAGATGAAAATAATAGTCTGTAAAAAATCATAGAAAAATGAAAATAGTGACTCTGAAACATTCAGAAAAAGAATTACTTTTGTTGCTTCTAATTAACTTAAAAACAAGACCAAAGGAACCCACATGAAACAGCATCAGAAACTGGATAGAAGCCTCAGGATTTCCAGGCCAATCTTCTACCAACTTAATGATTATTTCATCAAGCATAAGAAACACTAAGGAAACTATTCAAACTCACCTGAGCTTTGGTAGAACTTGATGTCTTTGTTATAAATCCTGGGATCTTTATTCTTCAAAGCTGCCAAAGTTCGTAACCAATCTTTTTCTATTTGTTCTGTGAGAGCCTGGGAGAGGGAGAAAAAAGAAGCTAAAATAAAATATATCTGATATGCTATTATCAAACTCATCATTAAGATAAAGAAAAAGTATATTGTATATATATATATGTTCATCTATTTATAGGCCTACATTTATACAAATAAATGTATATTTCTGACTTAAAGAGTCATCTATTTCAGATAAAGGTTAACTTGATGAATTACCATTAAAAGCTGATAAATCAATTACACTCAAGAAAATACTATTATTTTATATTGAATATACAATCAGCTTTTCGTATTAGCAACCCTCACATCTCCAGACTGAACATATTAAAACAAAAAACTTCCAGTAAAGTTCCAAAGGACAAAATTTGAATTCACTACATGCCAAGCATTAAATCCACACAAATGAATACCCTGCTGTAGCTTTCCATTAATTCACAGACCCTAAGCCTCTCTGCAACACTTATTGTCTTAGCACAGTTCACTTTGCATTTTGTTTGCTTACTAATTGTACTATGTGCACCCTTTGCATTTTATCTCCAAAATTTGGAATGCACACTTTTCCTTGAAATTTCATCCTTTCTTAAAAACCAAGAATTAGTTGATTTTTTTTAGATTTTTAAAATCAATGTGTTTTGGTATAAATACGTTCTACTTACATTATTTAGATTATTCAGACATTATCCTCATCTTCATTACCATATTCACAACATTCCAGCTGTTGCACGCTCTGGCCTTCTTCCTCAAGGGCACATGGCCCAGTGGATAAAGGCGTTGGTTAGATCTAGTGACTAGACCCAAAGAGTTGTGAGTTCAATACCAGGCTACAGCAGTGGTAAACCAAAACTTGTAAGGGAAATAACTGAGACATCCGGAAGAGGCATAGCATGTGGAACTAGAACAATCTACCCCAGTGGATGAAATAAAAGGTTCAAAATTCCAATCACCTGAAGAAGGCCAGAGCATACAACAGCCAAAATATTGTGAATATGGCAATGAGGATAACAGTCCAAATAATGTAAGTAATCATCTCAGAGTTATAAACAGAAATTGATTTTTTTTTATTTTTGTCTTACGGGTAAACAACTTTTCAAACTATCAATTTTTACAAATACCTCTAGTTCTTATATTAGAATTTTCTTCAAAATTTCTTGCTAACGGAGCAAAGATTTTAACAACAGAATTTGCATTTATATAAGTGTTTTCCAACAAAAATGGTTTTTGTTCATATCTACAACAACTTACATTTTATTAGGCATCATAAAGGCAAAAATCTATTCTTACTTTAGATTATTTTGTTTTGCTACTCTTTCAGAGATACATAGAAAATTTTAAAATTTATAAGAAAAAATTATATTATTTTATATTTTTATTTGGTAGAAATATTTATATTGCATTTTAAAATAACAAAATGTGAAAGCTTATTTACTGCTTAATAAATATTACCGTATTTGACGACATATAAGGTGCATTTTTTTTTATTAAAAATATCTTTGAAAAGTCCCCTGCGTCTTATATGCCATATGTAGGTTTAAAAGTCACAATAGTCAGCTGAAATTAGCTACTTGACAACTCCTATTAGCTTAGAGTAACTTTCATAAACCTATTGTCATTATTTAAAAGGCTATTATGCAGATTAAAAGTGTTATCATTGATAATATTCATTATATTAATTCTATTACGTTTAATTTTAGTACTTTGTTTCACTAAAATTATATGCAATAAATTCAAATTATATATTTGTAAAATATATTTGTTTCATTAATATTTTTCTTGCAATAACTTCTGGTTGCACTGATATAAATACAATCAGAATTTTTATATCCAAATTATTCCACTAAAACGTTTACAAGATGCGGTTGTACAGATTATATGAAGGAAAATTTTTGACTGAATTTCACTCCTTCAGATATGACAACAGCAAGAAAGAGGTTAAGCTACACTGTTGTGTACACATTTCATGTAATAAACTATGCTAAAGAGCATGGAAATAGAGCACCTGCAAAATATTTCAGCCCTTTGCCTACAGAAAAATGATATGTTACTGGCAGTTGCAGGAAAATAGTCTATAGGCAACAAAGAAAAGAAAATTTAACCTTTGCCACCTAGACCCACACTGGCCTAAAATTGAAGAGGAAATTAAAACATAGGTTTGTAAATGAGACAAGTAAAAGTAGAATTGTTAGTATGAAAATGATAAGGAATGAGGCTAGAAGATTAGTGAACGAAAAGAAGATTCAAAACTTTATAAGAACAGAAGGATGGTGTTATCATTTTATGAAACGGGAAGGTTTGTCAATGCAGACAAAAACAGCAATTGTGCAGAGAATGCCAGCTGACTATAATGACAAAATAGTAAAGTTTCATAAATTTGTTATACATGCTCAAAAAAGACCACCTTTTGAACTAGGCCAGATAGGAAATATGGATGAAGTCCCACTAATGTTTGATGTTCCATCAAACAAAACTGTGAATATTAAGAGATCCAAGACTATTACAATAAAAATCACAAGTTATGACTACAAGTTGTATCAGAAAGACATCCTGGTGGATTATTACGAAAAATTGTAATAATTGCTTGATTTCTATTTTGTTTTCTTACCTTTGGATAAGTTTTTATAGGCTTGTGTTCTTTTTTCCTATTATTTTTTGTTTAATTGTAATCATGGCTTGTTTAACCAAAATAATATCTCATAAATATAGCCCAAGCTGTACCATTTACTAATAATATTACTAATTTTTTCGTGATTTGCCCTGCTGAAATTGAGGTGCATTTTATAAACCCGTGCATCTTATATGCCATCAAATATGGTAATTGAAATAATTCTAACTCCCAAAGTGACATATCTTTGCAGACATCCCTTTCAAAGCAATAGTGTTTGCAAATGGAGGATTTGGTGTGCATATATACATATGAGTGTATATCAGTAAATTCAGAACCTCATAGTTATTAATTGAATATAAAATTTTTATATAATTTATGATTAATATTCATCACAGAATGCATGTATTGCCAAGGGGGAAAAGTTTACATAACATATATATAATTGTAATTTTTTAATGAATTTTTTATCTGACATTCCTTTATTACTATAAATATTTTTTTAGTGGGTACACATATTGGAATTGCTACCCCAGTTTTTTTTTGTTTTTTTTAACAGTGAAGTGAATAACAACTGACCTAAACTGAGAAGTCCTACGAAAGAAAGGTTGTGCTTCCAACAGGAATCAAATCTGTAGCCTCTTTTTTACCAGGGAAACCATTTTTATAGTGGAAATGTGCCTTTACCAATTTGGCTACAAAACAGAAGCTAGTAGTTATAGATTCAGAGAAGTCTTGAAAAAATTGTGCATTCTTTAAATAGGTAATTCAAACCTTGCTCTATCAATGCAGCCGCCATAATGCTTATAGTAATAAAGAAGTACATTTTTTGTATAAAATAAGCATTTTCAGTAGACTAAAGATTTATTTCATGTCTCTATGCACACACACACACAACTGGCCTAGATCAAAAAGTTCTACTAAAGAAAAATGTGCTCTCACCTTGTAAACAAACCTGCATTTCCCTTTTCCCTCAAGGAAACTACTCCTATAGTTGAAGTGCACTGTTACCAATTAGACTACAAGAGACTGCCATAATAAATTATGACTCAATTACCTAATTATGGAATGCAAACCTCCTGTTGGAACTTCTTTGAATCTATATCTGCTAGTTATTTATTTTCATACACAAAATATAAACTTTACTTAAATAATGTCATGGTTGCCATCCCAGTTTTTTTTTATTTTTCTTAAATAGTGAAATTAATATTAACTGGCATATATCAAGAAGGTCTATAATAATTTAGCAATAGATTTTGTTAATTTTGATATATATTAAAGGTTTATGTCAATCTAAGAGCTCACATTCCTTTGTCATTCGGAAATTCAATGGATTGGTGTTTTGGTTATTTTGTATTCATATTAAAAGAGGCATTAACAAATATTATGTTCATAAAACATCTAAAACAAAGTCATTATTAAAAACAAGATTTATATATCAAATAGGCAATCATTTAATAATAAGCAATAAACATGTTTCACATGAGCAATTACAGTTCAAATTAAGTTAATCAATATTAATACACAAATACAATTTTCCAAGATGCAAGTAGGAAAAAGAATAAAGAAAATAACATAAATGTCAATGAATATGCTTGCTTAATTCTCAAGAGCAAATGAATAAAGTCTACAAATACTACAAAAGATAAATTTTTATGTATATATTTTGTCTTAATTCTTACTATTTTTATTGCATTTATAAATTATTACACAAGGATTATATGATATATTCATTTAGGAGTTGGAGCAGGTTTATTTTTATAAAATCTCAGTCATGTATGGGAATTATGATATGATTCAGATGGTTGCCAAGTGATGATGACAAGTCAGTTTCAGCCAAGCATAATATTCACACTCCTAGACAAATATATAACCTACACAATCGTGAATTTTATTAATATCTTCCTCAAAATTATTCTAAACTTCCATCATATTATATATTATCTGAATCTTTAGGAAATAGAAAAACTTTTTGTGGCAGTTATGTGTTCATAAATACTTTGATCTTCAAATAGACCATGGTTAAACTTAACAATTCACAAACTAGAAAACCAGTTTTTGTGTTTAAATGAAATTTTCAGAAAATCCATTAGGTATCTTTAAATATATGCATGAGAAAAAAGTTTATTAAATAAAATTCATCTCTCTAGTTGAAATGTGTGAGAGGTTACACTTAACTGAATGCAACCAGTTAAAATAACCTGTCGGCCATCTTGATAATGTTATAGCTGTGAAACCAGAGCAAGAAAACATTGAAATCATGTGTTTTGCAATAAAGTTCAATATGCTGAATAAAATGATGCATAGTTTTGCTTGTAACAAAATGTGCAAGCAGGAGTTAATTTCATGACAAATTCAACTGCACTAATAGACTTGTTCCAACAGATTTCACTTTTGATGATAGTTATGTCCCCCTGCTTTAGGAAATATACATTTCAACTTACTTCCCCTTCTTCATCTTCAGATGAGGAGTTGCTCGATGATACAGACTCTGATTCTTCTGAATTTTCTTCTTTTTCTTCTAAAATATAAATGACAAGAAATTAAATCAAATAAAAAATAACAAAGAATATTTTGGAAATATATTTTTTCTTCTATTCTGTTTATTTCAAATTAGGTCTCTATCAAGTTAAAATGATTTAATTATTTCTTTCATCTTATTATCTATTAAATTTTTTTTTAATCAATTTTAAAATATTTTCAGTGATACCAACAGTTTTAAGACAAGGTTATGATATATTATAAGGCATAATTTACTTTAATAGATAATTTAATATTTCAGTCTAATTATTCATAATTATTCTGCAACACATATTTGAACGGGGTGTTCAGTTCTATTTTAAATAATATTATTTTACTATTTCTATGTTCAAAAACCAAAAAGATAAATTTGAAAAGTTTGGTGGAATCTACAAAATTATTATACTACTGTGTAACCCGCATATAAGAGAGTTGTCGGGACCGGAGAAGAAGTCTCTTATATCCGGGTTTGGTCTATTATATATACATTAACACAGGCTCTAATTTGGGACCAGAGAAAATCTCTCTTATATCCGGGTTACACTGTATTCCTTTTAGAAGTATGTGTGTGTGTGTGTATATATATATATATATATATATATATATATATATGTAACAAAAATAAGGTTTTAAGGAATGGTATATTTATGTTAAAGTGCTCAATATCAGGAATAGAGTGCATGAAAACCTAAATGTTAATATTGAGGCCAACATTCAGCAGCAAGTGTCTGCCTCATGCTTAAACGCAATCTTTAGGCCACGCATATATATGTGAATTAATTTTCCTTATGTTTTCCGATGTTTAGCCATAGTCTTTTGTGTGTAGTAGTAATCCAAATTTGTTTTATATATATATATATACACTACAGGTAATAGATCCATTGGTATATAATCCAGGTGGATCCTAGTAATATTAAATATTAAAACTGATCCACAGAGAGCTCAATGTATTTATTATAATAGAGCATATATATTTTTTCTACAAAAAATCCAAAATTGTGGGTATAGTCTATTTCAACTGGCACAACTTAATGCCAAACCTGTAAATGTACATGTGTGTGTGAGAGTATATGTACATGTGTTGTACAGCATGATTTATTCCATTGGGTGTCTTGGGATTACTCACAAAATTTATGAATCTATCACTGAACTAATTTATTTTAACTTTAATTTGTTATATATTTAAATCCCCCATCCCTTATTAATAATATTAAGCCCTTATTGTCCAAATACTACTTACTGTAGATCCCAGTAAAACATACTTGTTGTTTGCATAGTGGAGTGTGCCATAGTAGGAACCAAAATTCATTTACATATAATGAAAGGCTCTGGCCATAAATAAACTCCGACTTCCCCTTGTCACCAACACAAGCCCCTAATCAAAAACAAGGCATCTCTTTGAGTAGGACTGCTATCTAAAATAAATTCAAAACCCCAATTCCAGACAAGCATTGGCTGATGAGGTTCGGCATTAAGTTGTGCCGGTCTGAAATAGACTATATCCATATGAGGTAATTTTTGATTTTTGCTGTAAATATATATATATATATATATATATATATATATATATATATATATATATATATATGTATGTATGTATATATATATATGTCTGTGTATATATATATATATATATATATATATATACACACACACATATACTAAAAATAAAATAGCTGGTCACTCATATTCGAGGATACCCATGTACTAGGGACTCTAGCCAATTCCCTTTTGCAGATGCTCACTCAGGCACATTTGTGTTTGCTCAAACCATGTGGGTTTATACTGCAACTATGTTGAGCAGAGCTTAGTTACAGTTTTCTGGGAGAGAGCATGTTATCTAGCGTGATCAACAATTTGAACAAGGCCAGCATACTCAAGCCCTTGGCCACGATGATTTGCAATTTTGTGATAGCACAGCTAATGATGGCCCTCAAGAGTTCTGTCTACTCAATTTCACCCACAAGGCTTGGGTTAACTCATGGTATGGTTTTCAGGCACTTTCCAAAAATACCACACGTTGGGATCAACCTCAATCCATTACAATAACATCAGGAAGTCTCCTTCCTAACCAATCGACTAAGGTGAGATTCAAATCTGGGTCTCATGGCCAGAAAGTGAATGTTCTAACCACTCAGCCACACACACACTATATATATATATATATATATATATATATATATATATATATATATATATATAAAACACAGACATATATATGTTAAAGACGACAGACAAGGTATTGCGATTAAGCTTCATATTTATTATTCATTTGTTCGAACAAGTGTTTTCTTTTCTTGACACAGACTCATAAAGAAGCCAACAAACCAAACATGTAATTTGGGATAAAGCTGATTAACATAAAAAATTACAAAAACATCATTGATGACTGAACTAAATTCACAAAACTAAACAGAAACCCCACAGAAGCACTAAAAAGATCTGTCAACAAACACATAACATCGAATAACACTGAAGTCGGTTCCCTAAAAATCAAAAAAATCATCAGAGACTACCAACAAGGATACTTATATGGAAATATAAAAATACACAAACCCAGGTACCCGCTACAACCAATCATTTCCCAGATCCCGAGCCCTATCTACAAGCGATCAAAATTCTTTAATGACATCATTACCCCATACCTACAGCATCAAATCCACCCACAAATTTAAAAATACTAGTTCATACTTAAAAATAAGATATATTTAAAAAATTAAAAATATTTATATAATTTATATTAAATTTAAGAAAGAATATATTTTTAAAAATTTATAATTAATAAAAAAATTTGTTATATTAAAGAATAAAAATATATTCAAAAATAAAAATATAATAAGATAAAATAAATTATACATGAGAAAAAAAATTTTTTAACTTTAAATATAAGTTATAGCAAAAGCAAGTTATATTAAAAAAAATACAATGTTATATTTGAAAAGACTTAAAAAATATATAATAAAGAAGTGTATGTGATAAAAGGAAAGAGTTCTTAGAACAGGGGACAAATATAAGATATAATTAATATGGTGAAGAAATGGAAATATAGAAATTAGAAATAGTTATACATTTGATATTTTAAGAGAGAATTATAAAGTAATAAAATAAAATCTATATTATGGAAATTTGAATTTGTTTTTATGTCAACATTTTAAAAAGAATTTATTCCTTTGATTCAATAGTTTTCTTTGATTATTGTAGTTTATTATTCTAATTTTTTCTTCTAAACATAAGTTACACCTTTCTCTAAGACTATTAGGAGTATGAGTGGAACCTATAATTTTCCAGTCAATCTGTTAATTCAGACCTTTCTCCTTCGATTCCCCAAATTTTTTTGAAAAAGCTGTCTGGTGTTTTAATTTAGGGTTGGTAAGAGTGCCTATGGGTATAAAATCTGTTTCCATTCCCATGTGGAAATTCCAATGGAAAAATATTTTCTTTGGGGGGAAATGGTTGCTAAGCATGTAACCATAGTAGATCTGCATTTGCCCTCAACTTTCTTTATCTATACAATTACAGGAGGATTGAATACCAGGTTTGTTGTTTATCCCATAGGACTTACTTAAAATATAGTTATTATAAGAGGTGATTTGTACATGTTATTGATGCAGGATTAACTAATTTTAATTGTTTTCCGATTCAAGATCTTACTTAGAGGGTTGTTTTTGTGAAAATGTTTATTTATTAACTTTAGAAAATACTGTCCAATATTAATATTTGACAGTTTGCAGAAGGAGGGGACCATATAATTTGTCCTTTTTCTATTTTTGTGTCTATATTTCTCTTTAGATATTTCAGTGTTACTTATGGGTGTGAGAGAAGATAATTTATTTTTAAAACTACATTTATGGAGAGCATTTTCATACAATTCTTTATTTTTATTAAAAATGTTTATGTTGGACGATAATCTACGAATCCAAGTGCCAACAGTGATGGGTATCTGTCTCACAATGGTATTGGGGTGGTTAAGGTGGGGGGTTCATTGTCTTTATGGTATGATTTAAACATTTTATTACTGAAGTTAAGGGAGATGTCTAGATAATCAACTATTTTAAGGTTAGAAGAAATCTCAATCTTAAACTCTAGTAATTTGAAGGCCCTAATGATTTGCTTTTGTATCTTTGCTGTTAGTGGGCCATTACCATTGGTACAAAGATACAAATAATAGCAAAATATTTAAATCTTATTGACTTTTCATTAAAAAAATAGAAAAGAAAAAAACAGTGAAATTATTTTGGTTGACTCATGCCTTAACTCTGCTGCTAAGAAACCTGAGAAATAACCTAATGGCCTACTTTCTTAATCTTAAAGTTTAATCCAGAAACTCAGATGAATGCTGGCTCTATTATATGAGAACATAAAATTCTTAATCAATATTTTCAATAGTGGAAAATGACTTACACAGATCAAGATCAAAATGTCCACAAAATCAGATAGACAATCAGATTATCAGGCTCAGTTTCTAGCATCTGAGATGCAGTGCTTAGCAGTGACTATACACATGCAAGAGTGTGCATATATATGTATGTAAGGGCTGTATAATAATGAACACTAGAGGTAGTCATGCAGAACATTGTTAGTGAGTTCAATTCACACTAGGACCTTGTGCTGAACTAATCCAAAGGGATATATATATATATATATATATATATATATATATATATATATATTCATTGAATACAGCAGACAAGGTGCTTTTATTTAGTTTTTTATACTATTTCTCATGCGATCTAATAATTTTTCTCTTTTCCAATGATAAATTATGATAAAAACAGTCCGAATGTTCTTTTTATAGGAGCGCTTTCGGCTATACATTTAGCCATTTTCAAGGATATATATATATATATATATATATATATATATATATACACACACACATATACATATGCATGCTAACATATACATCTTTAACTCTGTAATTGTCAATGATGCCCTGTCTAAGTTCCATTTTATCATGTCATGAAAAAATAATCACCCTTTGAGCTTAATTTTCTATTTAGC